CCTGTGCAACAAACAACATGCAGAGCCAGAAAATTGACCCAAAAGTCGATTTCTCATTCTCTGGCTCACGATTGGTGTACTGCAGAACATCGTAAGACCTTAGTTTCATGGGCAAGGCTTGTGTCTGAACGTCACTGCTAACAATATTGGCAGGTTCCAAGCAGCTCCTACGAACCATCATGATCGAGCCCTTCACGCACGCCAAACGTCAATCCTCGCGCGTCGCTCATTACCTCGGGAGCACAATAAATATTTAGCTGGCCTGTTTGTTGCTCTATCACTCCCCAATTTATGTTTGCTTGAGGCTCGCTATATACAGCCATTGCAAAAATACACCCTGTTCGACTCTCTGTCATCCCCCAATTTACTTCAGCTTGAAGCTCGCTATGTATGGCCTCATGTGGAATCGACAGCATTCTTGGCATGGTCAAATTGTCCCCTGGAGTAATGACGACAGATGAATAACGAGCAATATTCATTGCCTGTATTCCTTCCCTCGAAGTATTCGTGGATCCCATGCGTTATGGTCACGATTACTACATGTGATAATATTGGGCCACAGGGACTTATAATCACTTTACGCAACTACCACCTTGTAACCATGTAAGCTATCTCTCTTCGCAGCTTCAAATAAATGAATGTATCTATGACAGGACCAGCCTTATTTGGGCAGCCAACCGGTGATCCAGAATCACCATCCGTTCCCTATCAGCACCAATTCGTACATTGTTCACTTAGACAACATTGTCTCGTTGTTCCTGTAATTCCAGTGATTACTCTGCACCCAATATGTGTCCTAGTAGGAGGTGAGAGAATAAAGGCGTTGCTGCCGATGACGCAGTGGCGACATGACTCGGACAGCAGACAAAGGGAAGCCTTTTGGTTAGCCTTTGATCCAGCATGCAAGGTACGTAGTGATCTCAACGAGTGTGATTGTGTAAAGTGGCTCCATGCCTTTCACTGGAGCGAAATATTGTGCTTGCCCCCTTTCACAGGCACTACTGTGGCGGTAGGTTGCTGTCACCTAGCCAGACGTTTATAAACAGTGAAGTTATCGTGGAATGATATATTTTCATCTTCCTCGAACATTACAACCTACCCCGCATTACATTGTCAACAGCATGCAGACAGTCGACAACTCAGAAGTCAAATTCACTTCGTTGCCTGCAGATATCAATGATGAACTGCGGAACATTGTACACGATGTTGTAAGTGCCAGTTTTATAGGCAATCGGGTTTGAATGTAATGAAAAACAGCGACGCATACTCACTACCGACCGTTCACAAGTGATCGTGCGTCAATTCTGCATGATATCTCGGAGATGTTGTTAATTGATTATGACCAGATACCAGACCTTGAAACTGAGTACTCCGGTTCCACCGACAACCACTGGGCCTTCGAATTCGGAGCCCACCAGAGCATTCGTGCTATTATCGCCGAACGCGAGCAGCAGTTACATGCGGTGTCGCAAGAGATATCAGGCCTGAAAACAGTGATGGATCTTTTTAACAACCTTCATGAACAGCTCGTCGAAAAGAAGGACAAGATTAAGCAGTCCATGGAATTGCACAAGGGATTCGTATCACCCCTCTGGAGTCTGCCAAATGAGATCCTGTCCGAAATTTTTGTTCATTGCCTTCCGGACGACAAACACCTGTCGCTTGCACAAAACGAAGCTCCCGTGCTATTGACCAGAGTATGCAAAAAATGGAGGGGGGTTGCTGTGGGCATGCCCGATCTATGGTGCAGGCTGCACTTGAATCTCAAGGACAAGAAAAACTTGCAGCAGCAAGATAACCTGTACCACTTATGCCTGCAGCGATCACAAGGGCGTCCTCTCTCGTTGGTAATCGATTGCTATGCACACCAGATGCTCAAGTTGAGAAAATTTCTTCGGCCCTACTATAGCCATCATATCGCGTCCATCTCTATCCCTTGTTTCCGCGGAACCCGCAAGGTGTTGGGAGAATTCCAGGCACTTCAGGAGCTGACTTTGGACAACACAACCAGTCGTACTTCGTCAACTATTGCAACATGTCTTCCAATTCTTCCGTTGACTGTGCGTAGTCTCAAGGTAATAGGGTCATTCTCCCTCGACAGGAATTTACCTCCTATCCCCGCATTGACTCACCTGACGCATATCGAGGTCTCATCATGTTCCCTGAGTGTGGTCCTTCGCTTAATCCGTCCATCTTCCAACCTCTCCTCGTTAGTGATTCGCCAATATACAAGCGAGCGAATACCACCTGTCGACTCGGCCCAAGTGTTGACGCACACCGCACTCCAATCCTTACACATCCTCGAGACCAACATGAGCGCAGCCTCCCTGCTACCTGGCCTATTCAATATTCTATCGCTCCCCAATTTACGCGCGCTCGAAGTTTCCGCTTCACAAGCATGGCCTCACGAAGAAGTAAAAGCATTCTTAACGCGGTCAAACTGTCCTCTGGAAAACCTGAGCTTTGGCGCTAAAATAGTGACAACGGATGAACAGCGAGCTGAATATGTTGCCCTCATTCCTTCCTTGGTCGTTTCGCATTTTGTATTATAAAATGATGATATCAAGCTTCGCGTATTGATGTAGTAATTGCTTCATATTTACCCTGTCTTCTATGCTACTAGTACTAGTTTTCGTCCGGTTGCTGACGGCAAAGAAGTAGTGCCATCAACCCTTTGCGGTCCCTGAGACATATAAACACCTTCGGTGACGATGAGAGAAGCTGATTTGAGAGTCGTTTGTTATCATCTTTAACTTGGAATCTCGAGACCTGTGTGAACGACATAAACATCTTGAGGTTGGCTGTCTATATGTTGCTTGCTGGCGCTGAATAAGTCATGCTGGTTTCGCTGCAAGTTTCACGATTCATAACGAGCATAGTCTATTGAAGGATTGGCAATGAGTAAGTATAGGCTACATATAGCATAATCGTGTGAGCATAATTTCGTTAACTATGTACATAAACTGTCCTAGTCTATTGGAAAACCGAGGAACGCGTAGGATCTATCACTAACTTGAGGGATGGGAAAAGAGTGACATATTCTGCTAGTTGCTGAGGCGTCGTCGTCACTCCACCGCCGAAGATCAAGCTTTCTAGGGGACACTGTGACCGTGTTATCAACGCTTTGAATTCTCCGTGAGCCCATCGTCCTATATTGCGAACTTCGACGATGCATAGATTGGGGAGCGTGAGATAATCAAATAGCCCAAGAAGTCCGGACGAGATCGTTTTCATAAGTAAATCGCCGGAAAAGCGCAAGGATTGAAGTTTGGTATGCGCCAATTTTCCCAAGGTCTCGGTCGCCGGCATGAATGATCCAATCATCGTCAACGACGAAAGATTGGGACAAAGACGAAGCAAGCAGGGTAATGAAACTATACCCGCTACCTTAATCTCAAGATTTGTGAGACCAGCCCATGAGGGAGAATTGAGGCTAGTTAACCTCCGAAAGTCAAGCCACATGCCCAATAACCTGAGATTGCGCATGTTGGGCGGCAAATGCGTGATAGAGTGCATGATAGAGTGCATGACAGCTGGTACTGGATCTATACCACCCGTGTATATAACCAGCTCCTCAAGTGCGCCGAAGTCCGCCGCCACCAGTGGAAAGGAGCTGGTACCGGAGGATAACCCAACATGCAGTAAGGATATTTGATCGACGTATGGCTGGAGCAGGCTTCGTAGCTCTGTCCACTTATTGTTATCACACTCGAGTGTCAACGACAGTTGACGTCCCCGTGATCGCTTGAGGTAGGAGTCATAGCAGAAAGCTCTCTGCTGCCAGTCACCGTGCCCCATTTCCAATCGCAGCCTACGCCATAAATTCGGCATGTTCACAGCAATCTCCCGCCATCGTCGACATACTGCAGTCAACTGCATGGGGGCTAGATCTGGCGCGGGCGTCCAGTTTGCGTCTTCTGGGATGCAGTAGAGGAAAATTTCAGCGAGGATTTCGGTGGGCAGACGCCCAATAGGCGATGAAGATCCCCTGGGAGGACCGATGGACTGCACAATCTTGGCCCTCTCTTGGACGAGTTGCCAGTAACGATAGTTGATATGGTTTGGGTTTGAGGCCTCGTGCATGACTACACCCAACACCTAAAGTGGATGTTTGTTCAGACGCCAACACCTTCAAAATGAAGTACTTACAAGGCAACTAATGATATCAGGGATGGCTGATGGATCGGTGTTGTATTGCATATCGACACGAAGGAGGTTGAGATGTTGAAGATGGAGGTCAGAAATGATTCTGAAGTTCGGCCAACCATCGCGTCCCTATTTAAACTACAGCGCTTCGCAAACCACAGGTCCACAACAAACATACCTTGCTATTGTAGTTTTTCATAGTGGGTCTTGTGTGAAATACCGACCATCCACATCTAGAGACTTTGCATTGTTGCAAAGAGTGTCAGTGCGAACGCCTGTAGAATTTGTGGAAGGGTTATCTCGCGCCTGCCATGGCTTCAACATACTTAGTCGGCACTACTAGGTCATCCGAGACTTGTTTTCTTTTGTGGATGATACCTGAAGTCATATAGCAGCTTTGTGGAGCTGTGATCTTTATTTCGCCTTATTCAGTAGTATTGCGTTTTTAGTTTGAGATGAAAATGTAAGTACTCACAAAATCAGGCTCTGAGTCTCCTCCCCACATTCCTCCCGACCGTACTAGCATGTAAGCTTAAGGGCCGATTCACTTTTCGTCAATCATGTCTCCTCCACTACACTCTTGAATCTTGATAATGACGCACTTGAATTTAAACAGAGTCACGCTCTGAGGCTTGTTCATTGGTTCAAGTGACAATATGACATCCTCAGTTTTGATGCAACCTCATGGAAAGTGAAACTGAAGCGAAGCGAATTGACGAGTGTCTCTGTGCTCCGAGTTTCCAAATGGTGGACAATGCGAACCCTTTGGTCGTTCACCATAAGTAATTGGATTGGGAAGAGGTCAATACTAATTACGGATCTCGGTCCACCCATAATTATGTAATGTAATGGTCAGTCTGAATTTTTTGTTTCTTGCCTCACTATATGGCCATTGGCGATCTTTGCTTTTTGTAGCATAAGACACCGCAAATGTTGGATAGGGTGCAGCACAGATAGCAGCTGGGTGCGGTGGTTAACGGGGCACATTAATCGCCGTCACTTATGTAGGTCACTTAGCAGTTTACGTACTTGATGTATCATACTACATAGCTACTCGTTCCTTCTTTGTCGAACATTTTCACCAACCCTCGACATGCAGGCCTTCGACAGTCTTTCCCCTGTCCCAGATATCCTCAGTACTCTGCAAACTGTCGTAAGTGTTCATTTATAACTATTGCTACGTCTGAAAGTAATACCATTTGCTTCAGCTCGCAAGTTCACAAGTGATCGTATGTCTATGAAATATCAGATGCTATGTTATTGACGATGACCAGCTTTCTGCAGACCTCAATACCCCGTATTCTAAATTCCCCAATACCGACCATTCTACCATCGAGCTCAAAGACCGCAGCATCAGCGCCCTCATCATCGAACGCCAGCAGCAGTTAGATGCAACTTTTCACCAGATCTCAGCCCTGGAAACCGTGATGGATCGTCTAAAAGATCTTCAGACACAACTTGTCGAAAAGACGCACAAGATCACCCAGTCCATGAACTTGCACAAGGGACTCCTATCGCCTCTCTGGCGCCTGCCAAACGAGGTCTTACCCCTGATCTTTATCCACTGTCTCCCGACGCACCATCACATGTGGCCCACCTCAAGGCTAGCTCCCATGTTATTGACCAAAATATGTCGGCGATGGAGGGCGGTTGCTACGAATATGCCCAAATTGTGGTGCAGGCTGCATTTACAAGAAGCCGAAGGCAGAGACTGGCAGCGGATAGCTTTCTGCTACAATTCATGGCTGGAGCGGTCACGAGGATTTCAGCTCTCTTTATCACTAAGGAGTTTCCAAGGTCGCTTGACCAATACACAAAGCCTCCTTCAGCCTTACATCAATCAAATCTCGTCTCTCTCTATCCTTGTTTTTCGCCAGGTCCCTGAACTTATGATGACAGACCTCCTAGCACTTGAAGAGCTAACCGTCACCATCTCCTATCTTGATGCTATTCCAGCTATTGCGCCATCCATCTCACGACAGTGGTTAACCCTTCGCAGTCTTAGGCTAAGGGGGATGGTGTTCAACCTCCATTACTTATCGTATCTCGACTCCGTATGGGCGCACCTGACAAATGTCGAAATCGCAATGGATCAACCGAATGCAGTCATTCATCTGCTCCGTCTGTGTCCCAACCTCTCCTCGTTCGCGATTCACGCAGCTTTCATGCACACTGGCATACAGGCCGTAGAGCCATTCACGCACACCAAACTTCAATCTCTACACATTGATAGCAGTAACTCTGGACTCACAAACAATCTGTCTCATTTGTTCGATGCTCTATCACTCCCCAAGTTACGCGTATTTGAAGCTCGATACGTACGAACATGGCCTCATGAGGAGTTCAAGGCATTTCTGGTACGGTCGAATTGTCCTCTGGTGAGCCTGGATATGGGCTTTGGAGTGACGACGACAGATGAGCAACGAGCGGAATACGTTGCTATCATCCCTTCCCTCGAAATCATAGTGGATCCCATGAGTCGCGATCACTTTATATAGTATACAGACTTATTGTTACACAGGTCACGATCCTAACATGATGATATTGGACTTCAGATCTCAGACTTGAACTATACACTTACTCTACACCATTATGTAGCACTGAAATGCGTCAGATGTCCTTCGCAGATCTCAATAACTCCATAGCTTGTCCTTCATCGACATCCACAATCTGTTATGGACTAGGATAGTTCGAGCTCTCCCTAGGCGGATTGCCTAATCTGATAGCGGGCTCGCTATTGGAGAGACGGGGATCTTCTCTCAAATGAGAGGTTCGGGGGTTCCACTTAAGGTAGTGTCGGCTTTCCTTAAGGTGCGGCTTAGACTGAAGGACTGGGACTGTCTTTCAGAGGAAGTTCTGGATAAAACCTAGTAGAATCAAGTAGGGAATATACATGATTCTGTCTGCTCTATATACTGTCGTCCGTGTGCACAGACCAATACTGCGTTCGGTAGGTAGGTATGAGTGTGTCTATACAAGGGCATCTTATCTGATGCCATGCGGTCGATTATCTATACATGAGGCTTACCATGCCTCTCTTATCTGTCCTCAAGGCGTAGCATGCCTTTGAGTCTAACTGCGCATGCTGCGGCATGCGGCTTCTCTTCTGACCATGAAGCAGAGCTTCTCCATGATCCGGGTCGAGGACCATCTAGGTCCGTCCAGATGTAGCCTAGGCTGGTCTAGGTCATCTAACGGCATCCAGGCCGTTCTAGGCGTCTCTACGAGTCTCCGTTGAGTCGGTAAGTCTTCCAAGACGGTGCATATGGTGGGATAGGGGCTAAGGTCATGATGACCTCCGTAGGAGGGGTTCTCGGTTACATGTTATTGTAACACAATCTCGCATAGGATCAACCGTTCGCGTTATAGCCCAAAATCGCCGTCTAGACTCTATCAGGCTTTCAAGATTTGAGGCGGGAGCGTCGGCGCATTCAGCAATGCATCTTCTTTGGGACGGCCATCAAAAGCTAATAATAAGGTGTGTGCAGTGATCCGATCAGGTGATGCATATCTTATCAGCGTCGTTGACAAGAGTCCATCTCTTGATTATAACACACCACTCAGTCGTTACAGCCGTTTGAGAACCTAAATGATTCCATTACTTTTCGCAGGAGATGACCGACAACAGGCAGAACTCATATTCCAGTCGCGAGTTACCAGAACATGTAATAACGGACGATCCCCAAATGGATCAGCCTGGTCGCCCAAGTCGGAAGCTGCCTACGACCGTGATACCTGTTCCCAGGGTATCATTGTACGCACTCGACATAAACCGTTGAACGACGGGCCATGAGTATGAGTTTATGCCACCACGTCAGGGCATGTAACGGAAGGCAATGTCAAGAACACTCAGAGGACAGTATTATCGGATGTTGGACTTGGTACGTATGTTAGGACGTCAAGATCATAGTAATGGTACGCCATGTTGTAATGACACAGATTGAACCTTGTATAAAACTCGTCAACTGATGCGTTGACTTTCACCTCTGCTACGAAGGTAACCTCGAATGGTTTTACGTTCACACCGAGATGAGTAAGTGCGAAGTACAGTAGCTTGCTTGTCCGAGACTCACAGGTGGGTATATCTTGATCGTTTATCAAATTGTCAATACCTTGCTACACAAAGCAGGTCTTAGGTGACAATTTGCTGGCATTGCAGATACCGTCTATTCAAAAGGTAATTCCAGTGGATATCCAGCGGATAGGGTTATTGATGTCATGATATTCAGAGTTCGCTGGAGGTCGGACCGCGTGCCAAATAGTTACAGCGACTGCTCGACAACCGAGGCCACATCAAACCTCCATCACACGAACGAGAAGACTAGAACAGATGATTTGGAATGACATTTCCCTTCCCCGATAGACAGAAAATGCATAGCCTGGAGGCTGGGAAGCAGCGTGCCAAGAAATTCGCATCATCTTTCCACCCGTCTTCAGCTGGCGTACCCCTCGCATTCGCCTGGACCAATAAAATTAGTCTCCTTGGGCGACTTGAATTCTATGACTACCCACCGAACAACAGACAAGACAAAAAATGATATTCGGTACATAAAAGCAAGGGATCTTCTATATCGTCCTCCAAAATATTTGATTTGATCCTCCATCACATCCTCATTTCAATAACAATGCGCGTCTATTTCATCCTCGCCGTTGTTGTTGCTTTAACAACATTGATATCCGCCAGCGACGCGGCGGTTGAACTATAGTTGTAGTGCAATTAGATGTTAACTGAGTTTGAAAATGTAATCGTAGACAAACATACTAACTCGACCAAACAATCTGTTTTTGGCAGCACCTTGACCTGACGCAATAGCAGTCAACCCGAGCTTACCGCCATGAACCCCAATCAACTGCTGCTGACAGAGAAGCGTAAACGCGGCCGTCCGAAAGGGTCAAAGAATGGATCCAATGCTGGCACTGTGGGCCGTCCAGTCGGACGCCCAAGGAAGGATGGAAATCTACGAGCATCCAAGCCAGACAAACCAGGTAAGCTTCGAAGTCTGACACACTGATGTATATTATGTGTAATAACTAATGATATCATAGCACCTTCACAATCTACCTCTGCGGAGGTGGGAGGTACCAATTGTGACACTGGGCAGCCACTGGCAGGTAAGTCATCTTCATACAATGTGCCAATGCCATCTGTAGTACTGATATGTTCCACCTTTAGTGGAACTATGTGCTCACGAGCCAAGCTTGAGCACAAACCCCACACCATCTGGATGCCAGTCACGCACAGACTTGGATCAGCGCTCAGGTGCGCCAACCAGCGGGAATGTCACAGTTGGTAAGTGTCAGTATCCGAGTCAAATTGGAGCTGTGCATTGATTTTGATATTGACGTCCTAGATCTTCTTGATGGAGAGTCAGACCTCGAGCCAGTGCAAGTTGCTCCACGACTGAGCACTGCTTCTGTGTCAGGTGATGCATGCAATCTTCAGAGCAGTGCGACAGACAACTCAGGTATGCACAAAGCTCTAATTTTGAGACGTGTTTGCTAACTGTAGGCTCTCATGCCCAGTTCATGCCACACACTGCAAAAAATCAACCAATGATCCACCGAAGCAATTGGACGACTGCAACTACAAGGATGAGGATGACGAGGATAATGTATTTTTCGGGGCAGATGTGGAACTTGAGTATATGACTGATGAATTTGCTGCCATTGGTGATGACGACGAAGCTGTTATTCAAGATGTGCACATTCCAACCCCATCAGCACCTCATTCACCATCACCGGAACACACTTCCTCAGCCAATGGTATGAAGACCAAGGTACCACGTGCCACCATGCCAACATGGCTCGCCGATGAATATGCAGATGCCTGCACTCATCTCGATTCTGAAATTGCGAAGATTGGGAGACCGGTGTGCTATGAGAGTGGGCAGTTCACAATGACTGCACCTCCACTGGTGTTTTCCCGTGTTGTCCCTTTTGAGATCGAGCCCTTGGACTTCTACCGGCCACATTTTTTCATATGGCTGCCCCACCTCTTCCAGCACATCCCTTGTCCAAACTGTAAGGATATGAACCGACGATCCAAGAGGGGGCAGCCAGTCATACTTTGTGTTCTTGGCTGGCCACAGCAGCCACGGCGCATTGTCGATCTTGAGCACTTGGTGTTCATTATTGGACACCGGTATTATTGTGGGCACGAGGAGTGCAAGAAGACATTCCAGAGTTGGTCGCCTGCAATCTTGCAAGCCATACCACTGCCACTAGCAGCCCTCTTCCCATTCCACCTAACATATCGATGTGGTTTGACGGACCGCTTGGTTGGCATCTTGTAAGCCTCGTTTCAGAGGGGTATTGGGCCATCACCTTTCGCTAAGAATATACGAATGATGCATGTCTGCTATTATGAGCAACTGCATGTCCAATACCTAGAGACTGTCCGACTGCGCATGCAAGCAAGTGCATCTGGGCTCCTGCCACCACATCGACCCTTTCCACGCTGGAATGACCCTAGTGGCTATGCTGGCTATGTCCCTACACACCGCTTCTTTCGTTGTTTCTATAACTCACTCACTGAACGGCACGCTTCAGAGATGGACCAACATATGGCCATGCAGTCTGCTGAAGCCCTCAGCCATGACCACAGCTTCAAGGTCCGTCTACATTCTTGGTTCAAACACTTGTGGACTCACGACAGAACAGGTGACGGGCATTCTCGGCAAAGTCAATGGTGTGGCAACATTTGGTGCCCTCCATACTGCATGCAATGAGTATGGTGAGTGTCGCAAGATGACACTAACACCGACGAAGGGACATGACGACTGCATGCCTGCCCTCGCTGAGATTCCTGTAACACTTGCAAAATATGGTCATGCGCCCGTCAAGGTTTTGTTCACAGACAATGTCTGTGGTGATAAGTCAGCCCTTGAGAAAGTGTTCCCTAGTCTTCTCTATGATGTAAACCCTGTACCGAGCTCTGGATTGGAGGACTTAGTAGTACCTGATGGTTGGCATGTATGTCGTCTCGGGACAACTTATCAGATTAATAACTGAATGAACTGCCTCATGGATGAGCTACGAGTTGATGCAGAAAAGGAGCTGCATGTTGCATTCGACCTGGAGTGGCCAGTAGACCGAGAGATGGGAATCTATGGCAGAGTTTCCCTTATATCCTTGGCATATGATAAGGCCATCTACCTTATCCCGGTATGCTTGTCTGCAAACTAATACACTATCGTAATCTCACTGAAAACTGCAGATAAGTCAATATTTGCAAGACAATGGCTTTCTGAAGCTGCCATCATCTCTTTTGGTAGTCTTGCGCTCGAAACGAGTCCGCAAAACTGGTGTCCATGTCAAAGCAGACTTAACTCGCTTATACAAGGACTGTGGCTTCGCTGATTCCAATGAACAGCCATTTGTTGGTGCTCTTGAACTTGGGTCGATGGCCAAGGATCGAAATGTAACAGACCATGCACATGTCAGCCTCACAGACTTAACAGCGCTGGTACTTCGCCGAAATCTGCCAAAGGACATGTCTATTCGTGTCAGCACAAGGTGGGATGATCCCGTGCTATCACCAGAGCAAGAGAAATATGCTGCATTGGATGTTTATGCAGCTTCGGCTATTTTTGAGTCTTTCCTTCTTGTGGTCCAGTGGCATCTTCAATGCCAGTTGGTACCCAGGTCCGGCTCATGTCACGAAATGGAGGACTTGCAGTGGCATATGGCCATATAGCTCGTCATCAGCCAAGACAGCTGAATGGCGTAAATGTATCAAAAACTCGTGTCGTCATCACTGTGACATCTGTCCTTGTCCCTGCCTACCTTGTTCGAGCAGAGCTGCGACCTGACCGTCAAGAAACCCCAATTTCAAGTCTTGCTGCACAGTCACCCTTCCCGCTGCTGTGCTATCAAAGGGATCTCCGAACATGCCCTGGGACCAGCAAGATGAAACCAAAGAACAATGCTGCAATACCTGCGTCACCGCCATATGAGCCTCATGATTCACCTTATCTTCCGGTTGATGAAATTGAGGAGCCTACATCTGATGTCAGTGAATTGTTATCGCACAATGGAGATTCTGGCATCCCTGAACAGCTGGCCAGTGATGCAGAAAAGGACCTGCATGGGCTCTCTCAGATTGAATCACTTGCAGAACTTGTTTCTCGTAATGTCTCCATCGAGAACAGTGAAGTATGCTCTTGGGTTCTTGGGGATATCTGGCACCTCATGGACCAGTTTAAAATTTCCATTCACCATGGTCTCCGCCGTCCTTTCAGCTGTGCCCTTCGAGATGCCATATTCTTACCGGACCCTGAAGATCTTGCTGCTGTCGAGGAAGTGCTGGTGAAGAAGAACACGTGTTTTCGTCAGATGGTCCTCACTAACTCAGACTGGGTGTGGCAGCGCATCAAACGGCTGGTTCCACCTCCAGAGATATTAGCACCTCGTGTTGCTGAGGTACTGCAGACCTATGGCCCACTGAAGGATGCTGTGACTGGCCAGCCTCTTTTCAATGACGCATCATGGGAGAAAGCTTGTCTAGTCATTGAGAACATTAAATTAGGCTACTAGTACTCAGATCCCCCAGGTCACCATTTCTACACACTGCAGAGAACGGACAAGCTCGGTCTCAACATCTATTGGTGCTCACGTGGAACCAATAACGTCAAGGGTGGCATCCATCAGAACATCATCCGACGGTTTGGTTCATTCAATGCATCACCCCAGTTGACTGTGAATTTACTTCGGGACTACACAGGTAGGGAGGCCAACTTGAACTCACCTGGACCTTTGACTCCCACTCCTCCTGAAGATAGTGGCACTGAAGGTAGAGAATGATGGGTTGAACGAGATGGTTGAGTTGAAGCGGGTGGGAAGCCAGGTAGTAGCTAGTATTGGGGTACTTACCCAGATTTGATGGATTCTGGGGAACCTCGACGTCAATACAAGTCAATGCTTATGACATTTGCTTCTCTTTCTTTGTAATCAGTGTTCTTGAAATATCGAGCATGTCCGGGCGTGACAATTCCCTCTCCCCTTGAGTCCTCCCTCCCCCCCGATTTATTTAATTTAATTTAATTTAATTTTTGCGACCCACAACATATATAGTTCAAGTGCCAGCGACGCTGACCAATGCCCCACTTGGTGCTTCTTGCCTAACACTTGTAAACACTGCCCACACGGACTTTGTGTGAGTAGTATGAGCAGTTTGCGGCCCAGAATCAATGTTCAACTACATTACTCACTGCTTGCATCAGGAAAACCCTCCCGTGCAAACCTAGTAAAATTAGATCTAATTAGAGAAAGTTATCCTAATTGGACAGATTAGAAGGCTAGCCAGGGCTATATTACCTCGAATTATTTTATGAAAATTAACGAAAGTCTATTGCTAATCTGAGAAAATTAGAACACTCTGGCAGGCTTAGACACCACTGGTGAAGACTTTTTTGACATTCTTAGACAACACTAGACAGACTTTTTGCAACAAATCAATGATCATTAAAATGAGGTATTCTAATAGTACAGTACATGTGAGCAAAACAAACGATTGCGCTGCTATAAGTACAAAAGTGCGAGAGATGGACATGAGAGGATGGGATCAGCATGACACTTGCTCGAACGTGAATCGACACTCACTTCCTGTGAACGGTGGGCAACGACTTGGATCAGCATGGCTCTTGCTCGAACAAGAATCAACACACTCACTGTTTGCAAATGGTGAGCAACGACTGGGCCACGATAGACTCACTCACTGCAAACGGCGGACACAACGACTCGGACAAGCGTGGCTCGAGCTCGAACGAGGATTAACAGACTCACTCACTGCAAATGGCGCACAACGACTTGGGTGAGCGTGGCTTGAGCTTGAACGAGGATCGAGAGACTCACTCACTGCAAACAATGCACAATGACTTGGATCATTGATTTGACCTTCATAGCAAAGTCGGCAAATGGTAGGATGCGGTAGAAGAGGGAAGGATGACGTGGCTTTAGTGTTGAACATTGAACATCGAACATTGAACGTTCGGAAGTTGAAAGGTTTCCAAACTAAAAGTCACGTGAGTCAAACAAAAACAAATACGCGCAAACATTGGACTTGTAGTTTTGCTCACTATATCGTGCCTGTGACGTTAATTTGTAGTTTAGTTTGAATGCATACCCCCACAACTTGTCAAAACCCGTTCGAATTCGAAGACGGGTAGAGCTGTTGATACGGTTACCAGTGCTAATCCCTAGACATATTTTTGTGACTTTGTGCTAATTATGTATAATTTTCGAAAATTAGAGAGCTTAGGTCAAATTAACCCAATTAGTCTAATTTTGTCTAAGTTAAAATGGGAGGGTTTTCCTGATGTGGCAGTTGCTCTTTGTATGCTCCTAGTGTGGTGGTGAGTCGTTTTTTGCTTTCATATCGGTGCAGTATGGTTGATGGCACGATGCGCGAGTTACTAGGAGTTTATTGTCAACGAATTTGCTTCTGAACATATTTTAATGTCACTCGAAGAGATCTTGGAATGCGTAGAGGGTTCAAAGACTGATGTGTCTGCATTCTGTAGCATGAATATATGGTTGTTAAATAAAGAACCGAGAGGCACCTCTAGACTGAGCAAGGATCAACGGAAGGAAATATTTCAGGCTCCACAGAGGAGAGTAAAATCACTCACATGGAAGCTACTCACCGCAAAGGGGCTGGCTATGACAAATGTAAGCTATGACACCCTCTACCTATATTGGTGTAAGTACAAATAACGGACGTGTTCATGATCCTAAGTCAGTGACTGTGGTTGGCCTTGGCATCAGTAGCTTCACCTGGTATATACATAACTCACGGCCTCATGCGCAGACTATGTGACCCACAGATACAGCACTCCAAGTCTCAGCCAAATCATCCAGCGGTGTGCTCGTGAGCAATTGTAATCGTTGCATGGAAACTTGAGCCACGACAAGAGGTGTGCGATCGAGAAATCTAGAACACAGACCTGCCGCAACTTGGGTACCCCCTACGCCTACCGTGACAGCGTGATGACAACGTTACCGATCATGTAATTTAGCCATATTAGGTAGTCGTTCGTCGTACAATGTTAAGTCAAAATGAATCAATTCAACTATCGCAAAGCAAAACAGACAGCTGCAGCGTGAAAACGAGTACGTATGCGACTGGAATAGGTGCGTAAAGTAGGTAATCAAGCGCTAAGTACAGCAAGAGCAGTTGGAGCAGTCGGAATGGTCGTTCGAGCCTTCTTTGATGAACGGGATGAGCCTGCTTGTGCTCCAGCACGTTTGGAACCACGAGAAACTAACAGAGGCACATTCTCCTTGCCGATCTCGTCTGGAGGAGTGTAGGAAGGCTGCCAATGAGTCTTTGGGATGCGCGAAGCAGTCTGCTCCAGGTCCGTGAGCCTCATCTCCTTCCAAACACTTGCGGGCAGCAGTAAACCAACATCTCTCTGTCCCGGTATCATATACTCCTCATGCTCCCGGAAGATATGCTCGTGCATATTGTAGCGCCAAACGGTGCCCACTGGGATGACTGCCGTCTTTCTCGTTGCCTTGCCGGGTGCCGGAGGAAGAATGGGATGGCAAAGCTCACATTTAAGTGGCAAGTTGCGGCATGGGGTATTCTTCGAACCGGTCTCGGCGGATGCGTATCGGAATTGGTGCTGGTACATGCACTTCGTGTCCCATGTTGTTGCGGCTTTGGCAGGCACGGTGACAGTGATAGCGCACTCTGGTCGACCGGAACATCCACAAAAGCCACATGGAAGTGTGTCGCCGACCTTGTAGATAGTCATCAATGTAAAGTACATATGTAATTTTAAACAAACTTACCGGTTCTTTCAAAACGACCTCCTCGGGAGTGTTACTGATGGCGCGCAGGATATGCTGGCCCATGTGATTGCGCATGTTGAGGACACTGGATTCGCAAAGGGGACACGAGGCACTCAACAGTTTGCACAAGGATGCGCTCCATGTCTGATGCGTCCTCAGTCTTGCAAGTGGGTGCTGCAAGGATAGGGTATATCTGGTCTTCGCCGAAGCATGAGACACCAATTACAGTGAGCTCCTTTCCGAGATGGATATGGCCGTCGTGGATTTTCTGCGCAATGCTGACAGCAGAGTCATATGTGCAGAGAACCGGGTCGATAATGTTCGAGTGCTTCCAACAAAGGCCGCCAACCTTGTTGAACTTACTAAAATGAACTGCCATCTCCTCAAGTGCAATCTCGTCAATCATAAAACTAACGCCGCGCAAGGGCAACAAGTCTGCACGAGTGTCGACAACGATATGTTGGATATTTTGGTCGAATTGATCATCGCATATTGGGCCGATGGTTGGTGTGAGAGATGTGAATATGGATTTAGCGCGAAGAGTGCATAGGGATGGAATCTTGAGGCCTTGGTTGAGTGCAAAAAGCAACTGACGCCCCCCCAGTCTAAAGACAAGAGTGGCAATATCCAAGTCACTGGCACCATATCCGCGAGGCTGGTAGACACCCTCAAGAGCATCTTCTAGCTTGTTGACAATTTCTCGGATGCTGGCGCCATTGCGTAACGCGATGTTGATGACCTGATGAATGCGAGGGATATCATTCTCAGAGATAGCCATGACGAGGCGGTTGTAGTCGTCCAACTGAGTGAGAGTGTACATATACTTGCATGAGTCGTTACAGGCCTAGAAAGAGTCAATGAAAATACATAAAGGCAGAATAATAAAACATACCTGCAACTTTAATTGATTGACTTGATCTGCGTGTTTTTTTACTAGTATGTCTCGCATATGGGCGAGACCCAGATAATGATAGTTTGTGTGGGCCTTGGGATTACGTGCGATATCAATGAGGTGATAGACGTGCGCGTATACTTCACCACACTCTTCACAAGGGTAGTCTTCCCGAATAGTGAGGTGTGAGCAGAGTTTGGATCGAGCGCGAGGGAGTCGGGGAACTGTGATGTCGACAGTAAATGGTAGTCTGTCGGGTCCGTCATGGTATCGTGCCCAAGGAAAGGACATGAAGAATGTGTGGAGGTCGTCAGGCCAGTTGATGGGAATGCCTGGACACACGATGTCGGGTTTGAGAAAACATGTATCAGAACACATAATATTCCAATTGCTGACAATGACATAATGATACACGATCGTTAATGAAATCCAGCCGAAATGAACACACCTAGGTTGATCAGATCGAAAGCAAGGCTTGATCAATGCACCAGCTGTCTGAGTGTCGTGCTTTTGCTTTTTGGAAGCAGTAGCGGCACACTTCTTACTGCCTCGATGATTGGTGAGTGATTTGAATTGACCAGGTGTGCATAGAGGTAAGGCTGTATGTACACTGGTTTGACACCAGCTTGCACACTCAGGGCAGAGTAGTCTCCATCGATCTCCAAATTGATCCGATACTAGAAGCCGACTGGCCTTGAATAATAGATACAGTGATTCGGGAGTATTGAGCTTCAATTGTGCTTCAATATCAATATCCGAGACCGAGGCTGGAACCGAAGATGTGTTTGATGATTGGGTGTCGGTTGATGATTGTCGACTCAGAGACAGAGAATTAAGTGATGTAAAACTTAGTATACTATGGGATGAGCTATGCAAATGACCGTCCGAATGTAATGGTACTTCAAAATCTACAGTTGGTGTCTGTGAGTGTCCGGTATCAGAATGATGTGATTGATGGATTGATCCGAAACACATGCTTTGATATGAATCGTCCTCGAGGTCCGTGAGGTATGTAGTGTCGTTGTTGTCATCGAAAGCAAACCATGGATCGTAATGAGCAGGATAATGCATAATGAATGAATGGGTTTAAGGAAAGAGACATAAGTTGTTGACGCGACGACATATCACATTGATATTGACGCGTCACAAACGCATCATATTGACTTTGCTCACGTGCTTCCAAAATCACATCCAAAATCTCACATTTAGCGGGTACCATCTTTACATGCTCGTATTTCATTAAAATAATTATCTAGATCTATTCTACAGTAGTAAAAACACCCCCTTTACGGTACTCGCCAAACGATTTTACGATGATTTGAGGCCACTGGCGAGGAACTCAAAACGTGTCACTCGTAACTTCATGTGGCTATGTATTAAGGTTTTTTTGCTTATCTAAAGTCGAGCTCTGTGTTCGGGATTTTGCGAACGCACACCTCTTGAGCCACGACGCTGATAGAACAAGAAAAAGACTCCGCGTGACATCACAACCCAGATTTAGGCGAATGCCGTCGAGTAAGGTCAATCATTCACATGCGCTCGCTGCTGGGTCGCATTGTAAGCTCCGGGTGTCATGGGACCGCCAACCCTATTAGTGTTTGGTTCGACGTTGTGCTATAGAAGTGGAATAAATTATACTCGTGATTAACTCGCAAAGTGGCGGTCTCTTTGAGTAGGGACTCCGAGAGCTGGATGTCTTATGTATACACTTCACCAATTCATCTGAAATATTGTCCATAACGGTCACCAAATCCATTACCGGAATCCAGATGACAGGACGATGTAGCGAATGAGCACTGATACAAATTATGTAAGTTCCTAAAACAAGATGAAAAAGACGAAAAAAACCACAAGGAAGTACATCTGTGGAAAATAAATGCGCGACGAGCGTCAAGGGTGCCTGTGTGATGTGATCATCTCCAGGATGTCATCGGGAGAAGGTTGGGGGACTGCGGGGGAGAAACGGTTTGCTGGTGAAAGTACGTTGAGTTGTTGGGTGACCCAGGTGCACCGGGTGGATAGAGCGGCATCGTAGGTGTCAGCTCAAATACGTGCTGAGCCACTGAGCGAGGGCGCCCAACCGTGCCATGTTGAACGGGCTCCGGTGCAGCCATGACACAGTGAATCCGGGGGTCAAGGCTCATCGGTTGGAAGTTTTCCGATCCAGCCGACGGAGGGGCACAAGTACCACGACCGTCCCAAATACAGCGTATCTCATTTCCGGGAATTATCTGCGCGAGCAGACCTGTCGATACGTGCCTGACTTCGATGAAGCGGGAGTCGAAGAGAAGTATGTAAGGCCAGTGGATTGCCACGCGCTCAGCCGTGCCCTCCCATTCAATGGTGCCCGTGTTGCGACTAGGTGCGCCGTGCTTGTTGACGTAGATTCCGAACTCTGGGGTCTTACATCAGTGCTGACCGAAGATCAAATCCAAACGACTGACCATCATAGCACAAAAGGAATTCATTTTCCACACGGAACATCCCCATTGGCCGGCAAGATTCACCGCGTTTCGCAAGTCTTTCATAGCCATCGTCACGCAGTGGAATAGTGACACTCTTGAAACTTGAATGATGATTAAAACGGATAAATGGATAGGTGAAGTGGTAAAGGCGACATACTCAGTTAGATCCATGATTTCAAAGCCTTTGGTGCATAGAATCGCGATCTTTGCTTTGAGGAAGACCAGGTCGAAAGATTCCGAGGGCAGGAAGAACTCCTACCAAAGAAAATCAATATGGCAATGCCATCCGCTAACAATCGCGTACCCTATACAGTCGGAACCACTCTGAACGCGCAGGTCGTATACCGAAGCGAGAGGTGAACGATGCAGGTGCCTTGCTCCTTTCATTAATTTTTTCCACCACCGGTTCCAAAACACGGAAGACGCTGTCGAGCTGTTCACATTGTCAGTAGGTTCGTCTCGGTATGTCACAGAACTGACCCCTTTCTTCTTCATGTATATGACTAGTGTTCGTCCGCCTTGGTTGCCGACGCTAAAGAAGTGAACGTCCCTGGTCCCATTAACCCTCTGTGGTGTCTGAGACGTATGGGCACTCTGTGGGGATGATGGAACAAGAGCCTCGATGTGGTATGCAAAGAGTGCCTATTTGTAGGTTAGTAGCTTGTAGGGTGATCACTAACAGAAATACCTTGTCTGCAAGTACGAGGAACATTCCAAAATCCTCGAGCATTGCACACTGTGTCACCATCTTGAGATGTAATACACGGCGCATAGCTAAAGTTGTATTTGTCAGTCTGCAAAGAGATCAAATACGACTGCACGAACATCTTGAATCATGTCTAAAGCCTATCCAAACCCCCTCGGCACAACCAATCGCCACCAGTGCTCGTCCATCAGCGGTAGCTTGAAAAAGCGTATCAGTAAGACAGATGGAAAAAAGGAATGTCCTGATCTCACTAAAAGGAACAGAGCAAGTAACCTTGCCTGTGAGGGAATTCTCGTGGTTCCAAGATGGTACAGCAGCTGAAGATATGGACGGGACAAGGAAGGTGTCTGTACTGAGCGGCTCCAGCTCGAAGACTTTGTTTGACTCTTGAACAACCTTGCGCAAGCCGATGGCCTCGTCCAGCTTTTGCTTCCACTCCGCTCGCGCTTGCTGAGATTCCGTATATACGGTATGCAAACCTCCAAGCCTGCCGTTATAGTGAATGGTACAAGGATATACAAGACGTGAATCGGTAGCGGTGTCGGGAGCACCGCTACCTGGAGAAGGTCCGCCTTCTACATGCCTGTTCCCTCCACCAAGGCCGAGACGCAGAATACTTGTGCTGCGCTGTGTCGGGGGATCAGTGAAGTTGGCCAGAGTAAGGAGGTCTAGCGGTATGGGCTAAGCCACGAGTGAGTTATTATACAATGCCATATTTAGAATCACTCACTCTCCGGTTAACATTATATTTTGTCACACCATCTTTTTCTTTTGTCTTGGTCATGACCACTGAATTTGGGCGTGAAGTTTCCTGATACAACACAGGGATTGGAACACTTACAATAATTATCGAACAGCAAAACGAAAAGCTCAGTCCACCCGTTCCATTCAAAACCGGTGTCGGGTTGTCGCAGCAACTTGCCAGCATGAATAAGAGAGCGGTTTTCATTCAAAAGATCCATGTCCTAAGAGGATCGTTCAGTACGCGACGACAAACAAGATTCTTAAAGACTTACAACGGACTCGTTGGGCTTGAACTGCAAATTCGAGTTATAGCACCAGAGCTGAACTTTCTGTTTTGCTGACTGAACTCCTGGCTCGGTTTCCTTGCCCAAAGACTTTATGATCTCCAAGACCTGAGGGATCGCTTCACGATCCTCGTGATTAGCAGGTGTTTCATCCATTATACCCTTCAAGAGCAGTTCGTATCGCAATAATCGAGGGATGGGACGGTTGATAAAATTCTTCATGTCTAGGCGGTGGGCATCCGGATGCCGTATACATTGCTGCATGATAGTTAGGAATGTAAAGCGAAGCAAATGAACAAGCCTTACATCAACAAACGTCTTGAAATCAATGTTGTTAGCCATCTCGTCATCGATGCGATAAGCAGCGATAGGGTAATTGGGGATGTACTCCATGTATGCATCCCTGAAGTTCAAAGCAGCGTCAAACATAGGTGCTGTAATACTCTTGATCCTTGGATGCTCATCGCGCTGTATATCATGTAGTTGGTCCAGAAGCTTCCGATGATGCGAGTGGAGCTCAGCAAAGTTGTGGAAGACGTCGGTGATAAAACCGTTCAACCTCTCACGAGGAATGACTGGAGGATCGCCTTCTCGCAGGGCCTGGACATAAATCTGTGGTGGCGAAAATGAGCTATGATGTTGAGATCGAGTACGTGCAAAGGACAACACACCAAACCGATGTTTTCTAGGTCCCTGACGTACGCCATCTCGCCTTTGATCAGTTCGAATATAATGCTGGACACAGTTGAGTATTTTATGACAACTCAAAGAAAAGACAAACGTACGACTGGCGCTTGGCCTCAGCCTTGCTGAGGCTCTCCCGAACATCCTTGGCTACGATGTCGTGCCATTCCCATTTCCCAGTCGGACCTTTGCCCATTGCAGTCTGGAACGTCCGGAGCTGTGCAACATTCTGAAGATTCCTGATGGCTTCAATGGCCTCTGCAAGGTAGTACGCGTCTGGGTTGCCTTCAGTTGTCTCCTTCATGATCGCCTCCAGCGCGATGGGATACTTCTGTAGATGTTCAGAAGGTCGCGATAAGAAATGTTTCAAATCCAGTCGACGAGCTTCCTGTTGCTTGGATTGTCGCGAGCACTCCTACAAAACAGTCCAGCAATGACTCCTGATATGCAGATAAATTATCATACCTCGAGAAACAATCGAAGGTCCGCGTTGGACTCGATCTCGTCTTTGAAGCGCTTTTCAGCAAGGGGCAGATGTCCGACGTATGTCGGATATGCAAAGCGGAACTCTCTTGCGGCATCCAAGAACACATCTCCTATCCTTTGGATGATCGGTGCTTGTTCACGTTGCCGAACATACATAGCTTCCACTAGTCTCCTGTTGCATTCCCGAAGATCCAGGATGTTTCCGAAAACCTCTTCAACAAACTCGTCTAGCTTGTGAGCCGGCATGACAGGAGGACTTGCTTTCAGCAGTGGCCGAATGAACAGCTAAAACGAGGAGATTAGGTGGGTCAGACTATCAAGTAATATAAGGCACTGACCGCCTCCACGGTGTCCAGGTCTTGCACGTATTGCTCTTCCTGAGTGATAGTTTTATAGATGATGCTAGTGTGATCTTTGGTACAGCGCCAAACAAAGTTCACGAAGATGCTTACGTTTGACGATGAACTTCACTTTCTGGAAGTGTGAGAAGGATGCCGGGATCAACCGTACTCAACCAATCTTCGGTTTGCTGTTGTGGAGATATTCGATGTTCAATCCAGTCAATCAAATGCGAAAGGTGACTTACGTGGTGCACTTCTGGCTCGGCTACGGGACCTAAATCTACGATTCGACCAGCTTGCTACAGAAACATTAGATCAAACTCACGACCAAGGGATCACAGGAACTTACTCGACGTGGACAAGCAAACGAATAACACGGGTCGTCCTCACTACAACTCGACGCATAGCACCGAGTGAGTGAAGTGATGACGGCTGTTGGCAGCTCTTCCCTCTCTCGGTGAGCCTCAGAATTGCCCTCTAGGTCATCCAAGAACATATACACGTCCTCCACACCATCTTGCAGCAGCTTCTGACCCCACTCAACTTCGTAGAAAAATAATTGCTGCTGTAGACTCCGAGCGACCTGGAGAGCAGCACGGCGATCGGTGGTCGAAACACCATGATTGATCAGCAGTTCACGCTGGATTTGGTTTTGAATGGTAGACTGAAACCACGGCATTGCGTCAAGTCTTGTCACAGAATTCTAGCAATGGACTTACGACGATGTCCTTGCCGGTGAATGCACGAGGGTAAGGAATGCTACTTTTCACATGAGTGCCCCGAGGCACCTTGTCGCGCAAGCGGACGGCCAAGTGCGACAGCAAGCTGAAGTTGACGAATCTGTCTGGATCTGGGTCATCGCTCTCGGAGTCAAAGTAATCGTCGTCTTCTTCTTCTTCGTGGTCGCCCGGCGGAGGCCCAGCTGTGCCGCTGTACACACTCGGACGAGCACGCGCTAATGAGTCCACGCTTCCACCTTGGAAACCGACACTGCCAGAGTCTGAGTGACCGTGACTGTATTTAAGTGCCGAAGGGCCCGCCGATGGGAACCCGTAGGACCCTTCTCTGCTGAGCATTGTTGGCCCAGCTTTAGCAGTTGAACCGTCTGTATCAGTGTAGCTGGTGGCTGTTGTCGTCACTGAGACATTGCGACCTAGTGAGTCTGTTACCAACGAAGATGTGGTGGAGCCTGTAGAAATTGCACGGCCTAGTTTCGGGTCAGTATCTTGATGGTCTGCAGATAGTATCAGTTAGGGATCGAAGGTTTTCGTTTTTGTGTGGACTTACAATTAGGGATATAGTCGGATGATGACGAAGGGCGATGACGTAAATCATTTACCCGAGCAGATGGTGCAGGACCGTTGATTCCATCATTTGGATGTAATCGTACATGAGGTTGTGGGTAGGCATCTGCAGGACGAAATTGTTCCGAAGATTGTTGAGAGCGATGAGATGGGCGATTCTTCGTATCGTCTGGACCATGGTCGATCGAGAAGTCATCAAACATATTGCTGAGACCAGGAATGTTCGGGGGCGAAGCGCCGGGAGGTCGAGGAGACGGTTTGGGTGCGACGGTGACACCGTAGCCTTGCACATCGAGGCTGCTATCTGATTGTTGCAAACGATATGCATCCACACCATTAACAGACGCTCCATTGGCGTGCGATGGGACAGCAGGGACAGCTTTATGTATATTTGGCAGCCCGTCAGCATGAGAGCTAATAGTGGCTGGTTTACTTGTAGATGAGGTTGGGGATGTTGCAGAACCTGTGGATGGGCGACTGCCATTATAGCCATTGGGTTGTACCGTAGGTGCCTGAGGAAGCTGACGACGCCTGTGTGTGTGATGAAAACTTTCCCGATAGAATTAAATAAATGATGACCTACCCATCAACTCCAGCCGTCCCAGGGCGTGAAGTACTTGCAACTAGAGGTGGTTGATCATGAGGCTGAGGACCTAAAGAAGAAGCACCTGGAGGCAACGGAAGTGGTCTCAACCTCCTCTGTGTAGGAGAGGTTGCAGTATCAGGTTGTGGGCGTATTTCAGGAGAATGCGGCCGCTGGGGCGCAGGTGCTATATGTCATAGTCAGATTACTCGCTCACAACGCGAGTGACTATAAAACGAACCAGGACGATGAAGGGCATTTCGGACTGAAGAAGAATGAGATATAGTCGCGTTGACGTCGTGGAATGAACCATTGGAGTAGGGCTCGCGTGCATGGGCAGAAACCGCACTTGTTGGCGAGCGCTCGGTTGGGGAAGTTGTTTCTTCGCCAAAGATCCGCCAAACTTCATCATAAAGATGCTGGAGATCCTCATCCCCGGGTGGAGGAGGACGACCGTTGGATTGGAGAGTAGACATGATTCCGGTCAATTATCGAATTGGGAACTGGTTGGTCAAGTTGACCAGAGCCTTCGGCTGCGCAGCAGTCCAACACTACTTACCTGGAGACCAACCAGATGCAGACTTTGATGGTGGTCGACGCCAGAAATAGCGGTAGAACACGATTTTCTGTGTTATCAGAAAAGTTGGATCCTAGTGTCGGACAAGTAGGAAGACGAGACTATGTCGCTTGGTGAGCGCTCAGGGAACCCAAGCCAATAATCATCATCGGATTTCGGTTACATCCGGAGCTAAGCTCATCCACTGTAGCTGTGAACAGTCCACGTTTACTGATCTTTTTTCTCTGATCGCATCTAGGCATAGGTTGCGCTAGAGCGTACTGCTGTGTAGAGACAAAACACCCGCCAGAATCTCGGCCTGTGCTGTGTGCTCCGCATGACTTCTCCACCGGAAGTTCAACCTGCGCGCATACCGAAGCTATGCTCATCGGTGCACGACATCAACGCTGAGAAACCCCCATTTGGATCCAGGTAAGCATAAGAAAGATCAACGAAAAGATACCTGATCTAAGTCATCAAACGTGTAGATTTCTTACGCAAGACTCTGATGTCTGGACTCAGAACGCTTGGGACCATGTTCCACCTCCTGAAGATCAAACTGAAACGATAAATGCGTCATTGGCGAGGCAACGTCTTGTCCCAGTGTCTGAGGATGATAAGAAGAATTATAATGCGAAACCCGCAAAATACTGGTTCGTAAGTTTCGTTTTGTCAGTGCTTCATTTGTTCTGATGCTTTCGGTTGATAGGGATAATTTTTACAAGACGAATGCCGACAATTTCTTCCGAAATAGAAAATGGTGGGTATAATTCCTTCTGTCCTCAGTAATATGCTCACCTTTTTAGCTGAAGGTTACATCTCGAATTTCCAGAGCTGCTGACAGCGGCAGAACCAGATGTAAGGGATTGTACCTCATCTATGATTTCTCTTATGTAGTCAGGCAGGGGATGTAACCATTTGCGAGATAGGATGCGGTGGGTATAATATTATCTTTGATGAAACATACCTAAGCCCTGTCTAGGCGCCGGCAACGCTGCATTTCCGCTCTTAACGGCAAACCAAAACCCAAATCTTACCATCCGTGCCTACGATTACTCAACCCATGCAGTCAAATTAGTACAGGTATGTACGGGTCAACTGTCTTCGTGTCTTTGGCTCAGTCCACGAGTAGACAAATGTCCTCTATAGCTCCCCACCTGTTGGCAAGATAGAGGCAGCTGTCTGGGATCTATCCTCGCCAGACACACTACCACCAGGAGTAGAGCCAGGGACTGTGGATATTATCATCCTGGTGTTCGTACTCAGTGCGCTCCACCCGGATGAATGGGGTAAAGCTATCGCTAACATTCATAAGGTATTTGAATGACTTTACCGATACAGTCACTTCATCACCTGCCATTAGATGCTCAAGCCTGGCGGGCTTGTATTATTCCGCGATTATGGTAGACATGATCTCACACAGCTGCGATTCAAATCTGGTCGTCTCCTTGAAGATAATTTTTACATTCGAGGTGATAAGACACGAGTCTATTTCTTCGAGCTTGGTACGTTGCGAACAAAACTCAATCAACCGAGTTTCTGAATTCTGTTGCTGTATTCAGACGAGCTTGCGCTGATCTTCACCGGATCCCGCGCCTCGCCTGCTCAGAAAATATCGACAATAACGGAAGTTGTAGACGAAGATGAAGATAACGAGCCAACGTCACTACCTGCGCCATCACAAACTGCCAGTCCCGCATCACACACGCCGGTGGACACCCCCAACCCAGGATCTGACGATACCCTCAGCTTGCCCTCTTCAGGTCCATCCTCTGACGTACACCACAACCTCCTTCGTCCTCTAGCCCACTGTCCACCACACCCTTTGTTTACAATCGAACAACTCGGTATCGACCGCCGGCTTTTGGTCAATCGGAAACGGCAGTTGAAGATGTATCGCATCTGGATGCAAGGAAAGTTTCGTAAAGCCGATTGATGCAGACGCGGCATGGATAAAGTGTCGTAGCTCAAGTGGTTGAATGCGTCACGGTGTACGTTCGTCCTGGTCGGGGTCATATCAAGTACACGTCTTGATCGGTCTTAGAGAAATAAGTTACGAGGGTAATTCTGTAATTTAGGCAAAAGGCGATATGAGCCTTACTGTTGAGACTTTTTTTTGGCGAATTGAATTACGACAAGATGACGATGGTGTGGTAGAACATGCATCCGCTACAGATCAATAGGGTCCAGCTGGCAAATGGTTTGAGTCTGCAGCTGCATCTGTCATGCTTGTACGATGCCTAGCAGCCCTAGCTATCATCTGCGGAGTTTGAAATAACTGATCCCCATAACTTCGAGAAGTTATAGTACTCGACTGGGGTAAGTCATATCTTAGGATACCCATCATCATGATCATATCCCTTACTGCTTCAAGTTTTGTACTGTCTGAACTCCTCTCGGGATTCTCATCTTTTCTTATTCACTCGTTACATTGACAGGTGGTCGAAAAACGACTCTGGCATTGGGAACCTGTTGGTGTAATTTTAAACGAAGCCTGAGGTATGCCCATTCATCCTTGATTACCTTTTAATTCATGATGTATTATAGATGCATCAAGCATGTCCATCCGGCGTTTGTGTAACCGCATTAATCACTGGTCTTGATGGTGCCAGCATCAATAGACACGGCGGATTTCTCACCAGCCTTTCCCATCAAAAGCACATATGCTTGCTGTAGTGCTTCAGCAGGGCAGATTGGGCATTTCTTCCGCCACGTCAAACCGGCAGACTTTTGTCAACAACATTACTGTGGATTAATCACTCGTAGCCAAGGTTTTTTTTATCAGCGCTACAATAATACCGCCAAGGGGACAGAAATTGATAATGTATATAATGGCGGTGGCCGCATCAGTGTACCGGTGAGTTCTTGCTGGCGATTATGCTGATTGTGGCACATTTACATGGTCATACATTGCTTTATATTCCGATGTATTCGATACATGACAATATCTTCTTCTCACCGGTTCTCTGATGGCGCTTCTTGCCCTACAACCGATAGCATACTATGGCCCATGCAGAGCTTGATCGTCTCCAAGCATGTTTAAACTTCTCACTCGACACCCTCCGCAAAGAGATGGACAATTCTTAGCTTCTTCCCCTGAGTCAACACAGCTCAGTAGAACACCCGTTGGATGACCCAACGACTTACCTACCCAGCACGGCGTTGTTTGATGCCCGCCGTCTGTCTCTAGGTATTAAACCACTACGCTTTACACTCGACGATGCTTAACTTTCATGAAATATCCCCTGGCATGCCTGGTTGGTTATTACCGAGCCCTGCCTTTTTTCACCTGAGTGCCTTTTCTAGGGAGAACTAAAGAACCTTATCCAGTCGCCTTTAGATAAGCGCATGGATGAGAAGTACTCAGCGTATGGCGCTGCCTCCATTGATATCCTTATCAAGACCAACACCATCGACTACCTGTCTGACCTGTCAAATCCCTCAGAAGGCATCCCAGTTACTGAACTGGCCTCGAAATTTGAACTTGATTCTCGTGCGGGAGACCCGTGATTCCTCATTTGCTTTGAACAGATGCTAGCGCGCTTTCGTCAAAGGCCGTGCAGGTCGGAGATTGAACCTTTGGTACGTTTTCACTGTATGAGCACCCACAAATCGGCTAAGTGAAGCAGTACGCCTGGGTTCGTGTCAATAGTCGGAGCTATGCCACGTTGGGTGACGGAATCGGATTGGAAACTCTCGCGCTCTCCAGCACAGACTGCTTTCCAGGTCGCATTCAAGACTCCTTTGCAGCGATTCTCCTGGGTCATGCAAAATCCACAGGCCCTTATTCCACTGGCGGATCATCTTCATATGTCTGTGAGAGCTACACAGCACTTACCAGAATTTTCCGTTATAGGTCCTTGGTGACATGTCTACGCCGAGTATTGTGGCAGACTACCCATGGGAACAACTGGAAACACCCATCATCGTTGATTGTGGAGGGGGAGAGGGCGGTTTAGTCACTGCCATCCTAGACGCGTAAGTCATACCTGTCATATTCCTAACATTCCTGAATTCTCAATCATGGTAGGTACTCTTCCTTCCAAGCCATCGTACAAGACATGGAGAATGTTGTCGCATTGACAAGTTCGATCATGAAAGAACGCCGCCCTCGTGATATAGAAAGTGGTACACTCAAGGCAGAAGCCCACGACCTTTTCCAGTCCCAACCACGGATCGGAAACGAGTATAGTTTCATCTTGCGTCATATACTGTGAGTGCTGGTCCTCCACAATGCTGATTACGTACCAAAGGCATGGTTGGGCTGACAAAGAGGCGGTCGGTAGTGTGCATCCTACTTAAGTGGCACAGCTGACTTTACCTCAGGCGGCGATATTGGCAACGTAGCTCGTGCATTGGGCCCTAAGGCAAATAGCCAGATCAACATATCAATGTGCTATATCTGACATGTTTCACAGTCCAAAATACTCATCATCGAAATGGTAGCTTTCCCGAACGTAGACTCAACTGCTACAATAAGTGCCAAATCATTCTTACTGGATGGCGATTATAAGCGTCCCGACTATTGTGTTCCATCGCACTTTGGTTCAGCGTCCAAACTAGTCAACGCGTTCTCGGTGCACATGCCGAACTTGATGAACGGTTGCGAGAGGTCTTTGGTACGTGCCTTACAAAGTTTGACCTATACATCGCTGAAGATCGAATAGCGTGAATGGGAGAGCCTTGTCAAGGGGTGCGGGCTCTGCATCACGAACGTTTACCCGCTGTGAGCTCACACTTCCGTTATCGAGTGTGCGCTTGACTCACGTGTGTTATTGTGACCTCAAAGAGAGAATGTTGGATTTCAGAGTAATGTCAATTTGCCTGTACAATGGATGTATCTTTCCGGTACCGACGATATATGACTTCCTTTCCCCCATCGCGGATTGTATGATACACTAAGGAGCCAATTAAGTTCGTTTATTGTTGAAGGCAATTAGTGTTCCCTTCACCTTTTCGAAATTTGGCTCTGGGTAGGTGTAGACTCAATACGAGTCGAGTATCGCATGGAGACGCAGGATGCGACGGGCAAAAATATTTGAACAGAGTGAGATTCGAACTCACGCCCCCGAAGAGACCAGATTCCGTGCTCATCAGATGAGCTGGTTCTCCTTAGTCTGGCGCCTTGGACCGCTCGGCCATCTGTCCATGTTGCTGCGCTCGCCATGAACATATTGATCCGCGTCGGTCTATACATGGCGTGCAATCTTAAGGTTTGTTTATTTCTGAAGGTATTGGACAACAGATACAAATAAGTCCTTTCGGCAACTTTTGCAATGAGAGTTCTTCCAACAGAGTTATGCACCTCAGAGTCGGTGGATTAGCACGTGCATATCCATCTAGGTCTTGTGCTGGCTGTCGCGCTCGTTCTTTTTCAACTTCACATTCAAGGCGCTCTGTAATCATTCATGCTGGACATGTTCAGTCGCTCAACGAAAGCACGAATGCGCTAGTCAGCTTCTCGACTGAAACTCACAATCTTAATTTCCATGGACCTTTGAGTAACCTGACAGTTGCAATCAAGGACAACATATGCACAATGCATCTACCGACAACATGCTCGTCAGGGATGCTTCGCGGTATGTCGAATAGCGTGCCTCGTTCTCGTTCTAACTCTATCACAGAATTCACTTCACCATTTGACGCGACGGCGGTGGAATTTCTGAAGGCGGGAGGCGCGAATATTATTGGGAAAGCTAACTGCGATGAATTTGGAATGGGGCAAGTCTTACCTTCGGGTTTCGCAGCTTTCCACTAACGCTCGTCTACGCAGGTCCCTGAATGTAAACAGTATACATGGCCCTGTGGTAAATCCGTATCAATCTCCAAATGAAAAATCCGTACCTTGGGCCGAGCGCGAACGTAGATCGGCGGGCGGAAGCTCAGGTGGAAGTGCTGCAGCTGTTGCAGCTGGTATGTGTGACGCGTGAGTTGCCAACTTGTCGAAATGGCATAGCACTGACTCGGAGACAGTGCACTAGGTACAGATACAGGTGGCTCTGTCCGTCTTCCTGCATCATACTGTGGTATTACGGGCTTGAAACCCTCGTATGGCCTCATTAGCAGGTCTGTCACTTTTCAACTCATATTTCAGAAACTCATGGATAGCAGATGGGGTGTGGTTTCTTTTGCTGATAGCCTTGACTGCGTCGGTGTGCTCGGAAAGTCCGTTGATACAGTGAAGACCGTATTCGGTGAGCATGATGGTAATGAGCGGGAGCACATGAGTTGACAGTTCGAGCAGACTCGATTTCGTCATATGATCCAAAGGATCCTACCGCAGCGGCACCTCGTACAAGAGATAGGGCAAAAGCTTCAGCAGAATCACTGTTATCGACTCTGGATGTGAACTCGTCTAGCCCTGACCTCTCGTCGCTTCGGATTGGGATACCACAAGTCCGTCTCGGCTCTCAGTTAGTTTGACATACTCACAGTTTGAGATAGGAATATTTCCCTTTTGAACTCAACACTACTATCGTGACCGCGGTTCGCAAGGTTTTAGAGCGACTATCGTCCCTTGGCGCTCAATTGATTCCAGTCTCCCTTCCATCGACGCCGTATGCATTGAGTGCATACTACGTTATAGCAACCGCAGAAGCGTCAAGCAATTTAGCGCGATATGACGGGGTTCAATATGGTTGGTAATAACGTCCAAAGTATGCTCCTCAACTGATCCTGTCCAGGTACTCGTTCCCCTCTGCTCCCTGGTGCAGATAAATCCAAACCAGACAACGTGTACGCACATACGCGCTCGGCAGGTTTTGGCGCGGAGGTGCGAAAACGCATCCTCCTTGGCACTTATGCACTCACAGCTGAGTACGTGTATCCTGTTCTTACTGTGAAGCCTTGAGTCAGACTATTGGTCACAGCGCATTTGATAATTACTTTCTTCAAGCTCAGCGCGTCCGGCAGCGAATCAAGACTGACTTCAACTCTAATTTTCGCATCCCAAATGCTCAACTATCCGATCCCTCACCAAATCCCGATGGTGTGGATATTCTCTTACATCCCTCTGCGATTCGTACCGCACCTCGACTAGACTCAGATGCAATCTCTGGTCTGGGTCCATATCTGCAGGACGTTATGACTGCTCCCGCTTCTCTGGCCGGCTTACCAGCAGTGAGTGTCCCTGCCGGGTTGGCTGCCGACGGTTGGCCTGTTGGTGTCAGCATCGTTGGACAGTGGGGTTCTGATGAACTAGTATTATGCATTGGCAATGTGATCGAACGGACATCGGACAAAGATAATAGTAATCCTAATAGCTAATACACTTTGTGGGCTCGATACTGCGTAGATACTCATCAATCCAGGCACGTTTCGATTAGAACACATGCAATTACTGCTCTTGGGACGTAGGACTGACGTTCAAACACACAATGGAGTGGTGAGTTACGACGGGTAACGTGTGGTACTATACAAATGTATGCGAAACAATGTAGGATTGAATGTAAAATATAATGCGGGAATTGTGAAAGTGCGGGGAGGATAGTAAGGTGACCCGATCAGCAATAATAAACGATGAAGTTATCTAGGTTAAAGAGAAGGAATTTAAGCATAGCTTATCGAAGGATCCCTACAGGGATCCCAACCTTTCAGAATGAGATTCAATTGTGCTTGCTCCATCGCAAGGCACCCTCGTATATCGAGTACATCACCGCTGCATTAGGGACGACACGCATTAAATGTGCACTCAGCCCACCATAAAGGGAGCGGGCTCCCTCTTCGGCAATAACGGTCCGCAGCGTTTGCCAAAGACCAGTGTACTTCATGACGCCGTTCACAGACGGTTGTCGTAGTCGCGTCCGTAGTACCTATACCACATGAGCTAAAAAAAAAATAGTCCTGCCAGCCTAAAAACGTACCTCATGGGGATATGTAATCAAACTGGCGATGCACTTCGCAGTTCCGGCGCTGCCAAGCATTCCAAACCACTCGGTCGTGCCTCCACGACCTTCAGTGTTTGCAGATAACCTCTTCAGGCGCTCATAGAGCACCCATTGAATGGTTCCCTCCGTCACGCCCAAATAACTCGCACTCAGGCCCTTGTAAAAGCCCTTAATGCCCTCCTGACGGAAGATCTGCGTAATCATATTGTAACTGCCTCCGAGGGCGCGTGAAGGTCCAGCGGTTGCCCCTGGATTCGTACTTGCGAGTGAGGAGGGATGTCGACTTTCCGATGCTGTAAGCTGTAGACGCGTCTTGACAACCCAGATGGGATTTGTGGCTGTCCCTGTTATAATACCAGCAGTTGCAGCTGCGACAAGGTGGACGTAGGAATTTTCTTGTCCGTGGTTGAATTGATTGGCGATAATTTGCTTGCCGTTACCGTACGTGTAGAAATTGATTGAACGGGCAGGTATGACACCGACTAGAGTTGGCACAAGGCCTTTGAAAAGCGCTCTTGGAGACTCGTCACGGTATATGTCACTGAATCACGACATCTTCAACGTTTGATCGCGCGTGGTAGGAACGCTAATTATACGTACCGTAAAATGTGTCCGGTCTCGACGAAATTCCACAACAAACCACTTGAACGCTGCGGGAGCGCCGCAACACCACCTCCTACAACCCCGACTGAAGTGTGCTTCTCCCTGAAAAGACTGGACTGCAACCGCGTCTTGACAACATCAAATGGACTCGTGACGATTGCACCACACATTCCACCCAGACTGACGCGTAAAGAAGACACGTCAAGAAAATACATTGCACACATATAAAGTGTAAACTTACCCTCCTGCTACGAAGTGTTGCCATGATTTTGCTGGCAGGAGACTACTGGATGCAGTCGGGCTTGTCGTAATTGGAGGTGCACCGGCCATTGTATCGATCTAGTGAATATCCTCCCAAGGAACAAGTCTACCAAAATCCAAAAGACAGTTATGAACAAGCAGTGGGGGGGCAATTTTAGCGACGCTAATTTTTTCATTACGAGTCACGTGGTCTATATGTGGGACAACTTACAAGTCTTGCCGAAGCCAAGCTTCGTGATCAGTCTGACGTACGTCTTTTGAGAGGTGGGAAATCTTGACGGTCGATCTCGGAGGGATTTGGCAGGCGAAGCACGGACGCTGTACCGACTCTAACTGTTTCGCTGCATCTCTATGTTATAACCAACCTTTTAATATCGGTTCTGGATTGCCCTTGTCTATATCTGCTATGAATGCTCTCGACAACCTTTCAACGGACTTTACGAGCACACTTTCAACGATACCGTGACAGTTCCAGCGATACCGACGGTGACAGCTCCAGCAAGTACTCGAAGCTTTTTCGCGCCTTGATTTTGTTTCGAAAGGGTCTGCGTCTTGTTGCGCGGTGTACCCGTACCGAGGATTCATAATTTTTACAATAGGAAAATATTCTCTCGCGATCAATTTAGCAAAACACTGAGGAGACTCGGACTGACGCCGTCAGCGGTACGTACTTTTCTGAGTATGGGATTATGACACGGCATATATTGGTTTCTGTTTCTAGGTCCTCATTGCGTCCTAACGCGATATATCGGCTGTGACTTGGGATAATTGTGATCCCTTCGGAATGGAAACCTAGCAGGAATGAAACACGCAGTTGTACACCACCACCGTGAATTTTCTTTCGTATATCATGGACAAGAGATATAAAGTGACAGACGAGAAAATGGTGAAATATGCTAGATGTGAGTTTGATGTGGCTGTAGAGAAGAATGTCCATGTCAAGAGACAATAATCAAAACAAGAAACAGATGAAGAAACCAAGTTAAAGATATTCGAAGAGTGTTATCGTACCGGCCACATCACTAACCACAATTCTCCCAGACTCCTCATCAATCGCTACCCCGTTCCAATAGTTGCCGCCTCGTACGCGAAATGCCGTGGAACGATGTGAGCCATGCTGGCTAGTCGAGGATCCTCCTGTAGTCGTCAGTATCCGTACTGCAAGTCGCTGATGTCGGAAGTCCCTATACACCATTCCGTCTGGGTTATGGTTGTCAAGTAAGAGCATAGTACCATATCGTCCGAGAGCAAAGTCCGACTTCATCTCTGACCACACTGGAGAGCATATCGTCGGCACTGGAGAACATATTGTCTGCACTAGAGTGGGCTGCACCAAGTATGGAAGGTTGTATAGAGAAGTCTCTCGTCCTGGGACATACGCGGGATTTGGGTCAAGCACGAAATGATACAATGTGTCCCCCGGCCAGAAATGGGAGGTTCCAACTCGAATGACAATATTGATTGGCAAGGGGTGGTGCAAGCGCGCCGCATTCCAGTTAACTTGTTCTGACATGACGACAGTGTCTATGATCTGGTATTGGAAGCTGTGCTGCGCGAGTGGATACGAGGTTGGCACTCCCAACGTTGCAATGTTGTGGGGTCGGGGAATGGTCGAGTAGAGCTCGACAGTCCGCATGAGGAATAAGCAATTCTCTATGATTTTAACAAGTAGAGAAGCGGTGTCGTTCGAATTTCTACGACTTAATTGCCTCGACTGTGTCGAATGTTGCCTGACGTTTACGCCTCTCTAAGCTCACACTCGGACGCCGGTTGCCGCAGCCACGCATAAAATGACCCATAATTATACAGTTGTGACCAACCGAGGTAGCATATTGTGGTCCCGCGTTGTCTATGCCACGAATATGCACGCCTCTTATCTCCTTGCCTTTCTCGCGGGCCCAGATGGAATTATACGAACTCGAGGACAAGTATTGGCCACCCGCACTTCTGTCGGTACAGATCAAATTGTTTGATACGTGGCAGCACCGAGAGCGACTAATACTCGTAGTTTTCAGCCTGCTATGTAGTATGGATCACATTCTGGAAACCGAAGGGAAGCCTACTCCAGATCCGAGCGCCGCTTCTCCTACGAGTGCATCTGGTAGCGCAGGGAATCGTGTTGACGTTGTCTGGAGCGCTTGATAGGAGCTAAGGCTGGCCCGTGTGCTATATCGAACGCTAAAAGGCCAAGGTATGTTTATTCCAATCGCGGCTTTGAAGCCTCTATCTTCAGCGCACTCACTTATTATGGTATCAAGTACTCAGAATGCGGCAAAGTATTTAAGAACACGGTGTTGGCTAATTACCATGTCGAGAAGAGTGGCCATGATCCGTTTGAGGAGTCTGTGGAAGATGTTTGTATCCCGTGGCGTGCGTGCCGTATCTCTCACCTCAGATGACCCTCAGATAAAAGCCATTCATGGAGGAAGAGAAGCGGCAGAAGTTGGCTGAGCTCCGGGAAAAGATAGCTGCAAAGCGCAGCGTGAAGGCCCAACAAGAAGCCGTAGAAGCACGTGCGAATGAAGCTATTCGTTTCAAGTCTGGCAAGGTGAGTCTAGTCGCGTACTGGGTGAAATTTGTGTTTTAGAAGTTAAATCAAATGAGAACATTAACAAACTAAAAGATGAGCTGAAGGCCAAAGAAACACGCAGTTGTACACCACCGCAATGGATTTCCTTTCGTATATTATTGGCCAAAGGATATAAAATGACAATGATGAGAAACATGCTAAATGTGAGTTTGATGTGGATATCGAGAAGAATGACCATGCCAAAAACACGGTAATCAAACAAAAGCAAACATATGAAGTTAAGAATATTTATGAACCGTTCGGTTCGGCAGAACGCTACGGCAGACTCGGCTCCAAGTGGTGACAGGCAGACGCTCTGTCACACCTTGATCTCAATCATTTCTTGATCGATTTCAAAGATTCAACTTCGCAATAGTGTATTACAAGTGTACAATGATATGTGGTCAAGCAGAATATGATTTGAAGTAGAGTTGAGTGAGATGTTGCAAAGTATCCGAACCAGTGGTCAGTGTCCGAAGTTGTGGTAACTTATAGATCTTGAAGAACTTTCGGATTACACAGGCTGCTGAAGACATGTTTGTCTTATCCATAATCAAAGTGAGCACCACTTCAACGGCCCCATAGCCCACCCAGCATTCATTTATCACCTAGGATACCATTGCAATTCTGCCAGCAAACTTTGGTGTGCCTCCAGCACAAGCTCTCATTTCTGAGATCAACAAAAAATATGCCAATAGAGTCCTTCACGACGTTGGGCTGTGTATTTGCGCGTTTGACCTGGTAGAAGCGGGCGAAGGCAAAGTACGATACGGAGATGGGTGTTTATGGTATAAAGGTGCGTGCTCGAATTTTCAGCGAGCCCTGTAGCCGCAACTTATCATCATGAACAGTCAGATTCAGAATGGTCGTTTTTCGACCATTCGCGTCGGAAGTAATCCTTGCTAAAGTGAAGTCATCAGACGAAGACGGCATTCGATGTATGGACTCTGCTTCCTTCTCTCATGAATACTAATTGTACCAGTGAGCGTAGGATTTTTCGACGACATATATGTACCTCTAGCATATCTACCGCAACCTTCTGCCTTGTATGTGCTGTGGACCACCATTCCCTCCAAGTTACTCACAGCTGCCTTCAGTGACCCAAACGAGCGTGCTCATTTCTGGCTACCAGACTCAGAAGCAACAACCTCACACGAGCTTTTGGAGTCTGCAACAGCAGACCGGATGTATATCGACCAGGGAGAAGTAGTACGGGTTCGCATTGAGGCTGATGAATTTTATGACGACGAACCTGGTCCGCCAAAAGCATCGGAGGGTATTGCAGTAAAACGAGAGGCCCGGCGCGCACCATATAGCATGATTGTGAGCTTTCATGTACGAGCCGCGTGCGCTGGCTAATGATTCTTTCTGCAGTGCTCTATCGCAGAACAGGGACTCGGGCCTGTCCCGTGGTGGAAGAGTTCCCAGCCTGATGGCGATGTTATGGACGCGGAATGATTTACTTTTCACATCCTGCCTTCAATAGTGATCAGCGGAACCTTTTTATTCTGCGCTGGAGATGGTGGACCTCATGGAAATCCGCGCTGCTTGACTGCCGCCGTTCAGGTGGTCGTCACAGTTCAAGTGCCTATCACTGTGAATCACCGTCGCCAATTATTTGAGTATGCTTGGGCATGGATAGGGCAAGATCAGGGTGTGAAATGATGGAAGCATATTAAATAAAAGATGTGATACTTCTGGTTCCAGTTCTAGATGCGTCTAGATACTGTAGGACTCTAATGTTCATGTCCATGTCTCTGAATTTGGTTCCGGCGGGCGTAGTACTCTCTCCGTCTTCACGCGCTGAAACTTCACTCTCACTATTTACTCGGAGTCAACGACCAGATCTCTTGCAACTTGCGGAAGATGCCGAGCCAGGATTCCAGGTCACCTGGCACCTTAGAACGGTCAGCTTGACTTGAAGTTTGCAATGAACAATCACGACAACATCCTCAGGTAAAAGGATGACCGTGCATTTATTTGGACCATATCGAGGGAGGCTTCCAACTGCAGGTGCAGGTCTGCGTGCTGTCATTCATTCCCGACTCGCATCTACAATGTCCCAATACCCATTCCCGCATCACCCGCGACCAACTCCGCACCAAATATTCCACCTCTCCCACAGCGCATCTCAAGCTGATATCAAGTCAAGATGTTTGTATACTCGCTCATACTCATACTGACTTCTGATCGGCATCCGTAGACTATGAACTTGTCCGAGAACACCATCCCGATTCTGCCCATGCGCAACATATCCCTGCTTCAGAACGACACTCCCGCTTTCAATCCATAACTGCTGCGTATGAGGTTCTTACTGGGAAATCTTGCTTACAGCTTGGTTCGGGGCTCCGCAGCAGTCCGTCCGATTCCGATATGTATGAAGAGTTAAGACGGCGGAGACGCGCGCACCATAGGACTCGGAGTGCGGGGATGGACTTTGACCACAACCATCCATTTGGCTTCGCGAGTGGAACACCTGGGAGGGAATGGACTGCGAGGCCCGATGAGAGATGGAAGGACTGGTCAATAATATTTGTGGGCACTGCGGTATGTCTTCCGATCAGTTGTTTATGGCTCCTTTATATGTTTAATCGTTCTATGAAGTGTTTCATTATTGGCATCGCTCCTATATTTTTCAGTCATAGTTCCGATAGGCGTCACATGAGTGCAGTTCAAAACCTTGCCCAAGCTCGCAGTGAAGCTCAGGAGTACGGACTGGAGCGGCGAAGGGAAATCAGACGGCGTGTACAGGAATACCAGTTGGAGCAAGAGGAGCGCGATGCGCGTCGTAGCTGTGACCACAAGGCTGAGAGAAAGTGATCAAGTTACTGCCGTTGCTGTCGCGAGTATTAAACATAGACAGAATCCGACTGTATCTCTCTTTATTCTTCATTATTATCCACATCAATAAATGGCAGGCACCGGGCGACGTCTCAGTACGTTCAATTCATTCTCACTCCTGATGTTTAGGGAGCGTTCCAGCTAAGTCCCGTATCATGGTAAGTACCACAGTTCTCGTCGCTACTAATGTACATCCAGCTCCGAAGGATTTATAGTTGAGCCCGTGAAATACTCGACATCGATCAAACACGCATGTCGCTCACCCATGATTGAATCAACAGACAGGAGCTAGAAGTGTTTCTATATTATGGTCACGACAATCGTACGACTCATTATTCGAAAGGAACCACTGTTTTCCTCTACACAGTGGTAACTCGGTGACCTACACATAGACGGACACTTGGCCAACAACACGCACGTCATGTGTCATGTCCGCCTCATAATATGACTAGCAAGCATATTTCCAGTGTCGCATCGCCATAGGTTCGTGCGTGGGACAAGTCATATAGAGTCCTGAGAACCGGGGGACAGTGCGTTTTGCTGTCAAGGCTGGCCTGTCCGGGCATTGGGGTAGGGCGAAGGTTTCAATACACCCTTAAGGTCCTAATCATGGATCTCTAACGACTGTGAATCCTCAGCGGATATATTACAACGAGTACGTCAACACCCCATCAGATTTCTTCGTCATCAAAATCGATCTCTTCCACAGGGAAGTCACCGACCGTGACTTTTGCAGGGCGTACGAACACTCCGTAGTTCGGACGACATGTAAAATACTGCACCCCTTTGAGACTAGATTTCCAGATGAGTATCGACAAATGATACGAAGATTCAAACTTACGACCCATCATTCTTGCCCATCGGCTCATCATACTCGACACCGACCCAAAGTCCAGCAGCAAACTCAGTCTGACCAAAAAACCGAACTGCACCACGCTTATTCAAGCCCGGTTCTGTTGATTCCACCTCGCAGCGTGATCCGATGGGGATGTTTACCGTAGGTTCGGGAGTAGGTTCTGTTGAAGGAGGCGCAAAGCGCCCTACTTTATGTCTTTGCTTGTAAGCCAACACGGAGTCTTTGAAATAAAGAGAATTAGAACCAGTAGTAAATAACAAGGAATGACTGATTGATCACCAGTTCGTTGTGCGTATGCGTCGTCGCTGAGCTCAAACTTCTCTACTTGTGATACATCGGAGAGCTGACCCGTAAACGACGTCGAAGGGTTCGTATCTACAATCTACAACAAACGACGCCAACATATGCATAAACGACTACTTTGTGAAGATTCGAACAGAAAATACCTTGATCGTCTGGAAATCCCGAACACCGTAGTACCCAAGCGGCTTAGCGTCATCATCCAGCTGCGCGACGACCTGGGAATCTTCATCGCCATCGTGCAACAATATCTTCTGATTCTGAACGGGGATGCCTGTGATGAGCTCTAGTTTCGCCTAGATATTGAGCGGTGCCCGAATCACGATGATATGCGGGGTTGTCTTTAGTGTCCTGCAAGATGTGTTATGGTAGACTACGCAACCTTGAGCTGCTCGATCGTTACGTGGAGGTCGAAGCGACGCTCAGAACGGGTGTCTGGGGATACGACGAATAATTTGACGATGGATGTCATTTTGGATGAAGGAAATATTGCATCTCCCGGCCGGCGTAGTAGACAATTCAAGGGCCGATCTTAAGGCACGTGATCACTAGCAAGCACTATCGGCATCGGGTCGGATGTCCCTCATTTTTTGTTCGTTTCTTTCCAGTAGTGCTGCTCAATTCATTCATTCGGTTCGCGTTTACTGACAAATAATGACTACGCAACCTTAAATTGTTGGATCGTTACGTGGAGGTCGAAGCGACGCTCGGAACGGGTGTCTGGGGATACGACGAATAATTGGGATGTCCATGTCATTTTGGATCAATGAATAAGTATTGCAATTGTTACTAAGAATTGCCATAAATAGTATGTCATCCGCACATGACATCATAAGTTGCACCAAAATTCAACATCGTGGGACCTATACCTACTTACAGCAGTTTGCATAACTAATGGCGCAACCACATAAGTCACAACATATAACAACTCTTGAAAGACTTGGAAAATTTCGAGTGACGGAGTAGTAACACAGGCAAACACATCAAGTCTAGAACACAACTATGGGTAATAGAAAGATTTCACCTGACCTCAAGCTCGCTGCCATCCGCCTTCACGAGCGGGGAATTCTCACCACTCGCGAAATACTTGATTGTGTTGGTTTTTCGAGACGGACCTTCCTTCGAATCTGCAAGCTCTATCGTGAAACGGGTGACGTTGTCAAGCTACGTAGTGAATACATCGGCCGGCCGAGGGCTTTGAACCTTGAAGATGTTGCATACCTTACGGAGCTCATTGCGCATCGTCCCGATTGGTTTCTCGACGAACTAGCTGGCCTCGTGCAACGAAACCGCTTCATATCACTCCACTACACAACAATTCATCGTGAACTTTGTCGTGCCGGTATCTCACTCAAAAAGCTTCGCAAAGTTGCCAAGGAACGTAACGAGGATGTCCGGGCTGACTTCATGCGAAGGATGGCACACTACACGTCTGACGAGCTTTGTTTCATTGACGAGACATCCAAGGATGATCGTACACCATTCCGAAGGTGTGGTCGGGCGAAAAAAAGTCGACGGGCAAGCATGAGAGGGGTGTTTGTGTGAGGGCAGCGAATCACAGCTGTTGCAGCATTGACAGTTGATGGAATCATTGCAGGTCACATTGTGGAGGGATCTTTGCGTCGAAATGGCTATCTCAATTTTCTCGAGCACTCCGTAGTGAGTACCTTGATCCATGCCAGCAGTCCTTATTTCAACTATCATTTTCGCTATGTAGCTTCCACACTGCGAAGCATATCCAGGCAAGAACAGTGTCCTGGTCATGGACAATGCTCAGATCCACCATGGTGCGGATGTTCGTGAGCTTGTGGAACGGTTTGGTAAGTCTCAGTATATTCAATGAACTATCACTCACACCCATGCAGGTGTTCGAATCGTGTTTCTCCCACCTTATTCACCAGATTTGAATCCGATTGAAGAAGCCTTCTCAAAAATCAAGTCATGGATCCGTCGGAACTATGATCTGTTTGCGATACCTGGTGATGGTATGTTTTATGATGCGTGCGAGGCCCTAGATATCATTACACCAGAGGATGCACAAGGCTACATGAGACATTCAGGGTATTTCTAGTATACAGACTGATGGATTGCACTGCTGTAATAATACATAGTGAAACGGCAATACTCGACTTGAGTTACCACAAAGACAAAGAAGACTTGACTGTCCTGCTAGCACAATGAACGAAAAAAGAGCAAGATACCACTACTCCCCACACCAACGTGAAACAGCGTCTCTAAGCTGTGCAAGCTCACCCCGAAGTAGCCCAATCGACTCCAGATCTTCCAATGAGGTAAAACGGAAGGAGTGTGATGAAGAAAAGCCGTTCTGAAGAAGCTTGGCTTGAAGTGTTTCGGATACTTCATAGGCAACACAAAAGTCAGTGAGAGACATTCGAGGGCCAGGTGCTGCGAGCTGAGCTGGAGACAATAAAGATGTAGTAACCACAGAGGCAGGAGGGTGAGGAACAGGAGGAAGAGCAGTAGCAGGGGCTTGAGCAAGAGCAGGTTCTAGTGCACGGAGAGATTGAAAAAGCTCTGGAGGAAAGTTGACATTGATAATAGGTGTGTTGCCAGTACTCGAAGCTTTTGATCGTGCTTGCTCATCAAGCTGCTGACGACGTAATGCGAGAACTGACTGCTGACCCAGGAGCTCCTCAGGGATCATGCTGAAGTGAGAATGGTTTGGTGGCTTTTCAAGTGTTGCTGTAGCAGGTCCTTTCAACTATTTTCTCGATCAGAACATGATGAAATGGTAGAGAACAGTACTTACTATTGCTGATGCCCAACATTCGAGTCGAGAAAATGTCAGTGGAATATGAGATCCGCCATCTGCTGGATTGACAAAGCAGAACTCGCTCTTGCAACCAGGTTTTTTGTGGCAGATCCACCGGTTGTGAATAGTGCTGCCGTGGTCCGGTCCAGAACCACAGTTCGAACCGGACTTTTGGTCCGGTTCTCTGTGGTTCGGTCCGTGGTTCTCTCACCAGCCAGAACCGGACTGAAAATCGGTTCTCGGTTCTAGGTCATCCCAGAACGGTTCCGTTCTGGTTTGGGACACCCGAACCGTTCTGAACCGTCAACTTTGCCATCATTTACTTCGACGTCGTCGTCATCTGATCGATCGATCTTTGGGATTTGCACTACCTTCGACTTCGACCAGGATTTGTATTATCAGGCTGCCTTGAGCCTTTTTCAAGGTGAGTACTAACTAATTCGTCTCTGAAGCATCTAATCAACTGACATATGTTTAGCTACATCTCCCTAGGCCGCTATGATCCTCCACAAGCTTTTTGCTGTGACTGATCTCCTAGGAGACCAGTATTCTGTGGTGTGCAGATGTCTTCTCCCTGCCCTGTGTACAAAACAAGGTCGTGATGATGAAACTGTGAGTTGTCTCCCTGAAAATGTCAGACTCCTGCGCTCTCAATACTGATGGCACCCTCAAGGATGCATCCAAGATCACGTTCTACAACGATCCTGACGACGATGTGCCCTTGCCACCAGTCCCATCAAACGACCCTGATGACAATGTGCCCTCAACGGAACCCAAGAAAAACGCCTTCTCAGTTCTACTCAAGACTGGACATACACCAGCAACCGTCACTGCAGGCTCTCGGCGCTCTGGCTGCCCTTCCAAGCCCTCAGCTCGTATCCGTGATGCTGACAATGTTGCTTCATCCTCAGGCACAAGGAAGCGTGCACACGCATCATCTAGTGCTACAGAGCACCCAGCGTCTAAAAAAGTCGCTATGCGATTCATATCACCTTTGGACTCTGATGACGAAGATACGGCTGATGAAGATCTCCCTTCGGCTGCTCCTGATCCAGGAGAATCATCCTCTGATGAGCTGATCCCCCAGCTTGATGATGATGATGACGAGGCTGAGAGTCAAACTGCGAGTCAAACTGTACGTCGTATCTTCATCATTGTCTTCCTTCACTGACACTTGCATTTAGGTCTCAAAAAGCAATCGTACAGCAGACATCCGGACTATATTCACTCGTATCCCTGAGGGATGGGTCTGTACGCTGTGCAAGTAAGTTTTCATTTGTTTTTAATTTAAATTCAATTTTGATTTTGGATAAGGGACACCGGTGAACCAGCACACAAGCATACGTTTCGCGGAGGCACCTCAACACTACGAACGCACATTTTTCGCCACAGACGCACCCATTTTCAAGTGTACAAGGCACGTTGCGATGCTGCGGGCATCACCATGCATTCCCGCGCAATCCCACCTGGCGAAGACCTCACCGCAATGCAACAAACTCTCGATCGCAATCTTGTTTCAAAACCTGCTGTATTCACAAAGGAAGGGTTATTGGAGTACATAATGGAGCTTATCGTGACAGAAGACGAGGTGCATTTTTTAATTTTGTTATTTGCGTTGCTGTTTAATGACATTATGGCAGGCAATCCAGTTGGTTGATAGACCGGCTTTCCGACGTTTGCTGTTGTACACCCATTCAACTCTATCTGAGAAAGATATCCCGCACCGCACCAAACTCACTGATACCATCAAGTCTCGCGCAATTACTATCGTCGAAAAGATCAAGGAGCGCCTTGCTGTAAGTTTATTCTATTCACATTATTAACTATTATTGATGCAGTTTTGGTAGCATGTCGACAGTGTGGTGTCCATGACGTTCGACTCATGGACATCTATCATCGGGGATCCTTTCTTTTCCGTCACTGGCCATTACATCTGGAACCCCCCTGATAAGCCACAAGAGTGGGTGCTGATGCGCGAGCAGCTTGATTTCAGTCATATTGAAGGCAACCATAGCGGCCAAAATATCGCCCGCATACTCGTTGAGACCATAGATAGGTACGACATTCACAAGAAGGTAAGTTTTTTTAATTCACTTATGCCATTTGATTGACCTTACTTTGCAGGTTGGCTGGATGACTTCGGATAACGCCTCGAACAACGACACTGCCATGAAAGAAGTCGGAAAGGTCTTGAACGAGGGCGGCAATGATTGGCTACCAGGTGCCCACCGCATTCGGTGTCAAGAGCACATCCTTAACCTTGCTGCGCGACACTTCGTTGATGCAGTTGCGCCTACCCCTCAAGCCACCTTACTCAAGAAGATCCGTCGTGCTATAGACAATGGTGATGATGCTGACATTGATAGTTTAACTCAACAGCTGGCCACATTAGAATGTGATCCCGAAGCCATTACCGAGGACGGTTTTGATGTGGCAGATGCTGTCAGCAAAGCACTCGCTCTTATTGAACAGGTGAGCTCCTTTTCTTGTTTTTGAGTTGTTTTCTGATATGAATATAATAGATTCGCAAATCGCCGCAAGCCAGAGCCTTCTTCCAAAAGTGTTGCGAGGAAGAGGGCATCCCCGTTCGCGAGATCTTAACTTGGGTGCGAACACGCTGGGCATCTTTATATAAGTGCCTTGAACGCTTTCTCTCTCACCGCCTGGTGAGTTCTCTAATGTCTTTATTTATTTCAATATCTCTAATGCCTTGTTTTTTTCAGGCCGTCAACCGTTTTACTCTCCTTGCTGACGAGAGTCACGAAGTCCTGACGCTGCGCAACAAATCTTACAGCGACTTCAAACTCGATTGAGCCAACTGGAAAAAGATCCGACTGGTTCATAATGTCCTCAAGGTATTTTTGATTTGTTTATTCATTCATTTATTTACTTACAGCTATAATAACTACAGGAGCCTGCGACTGCGCAACAGTCGTTCTCCTCGGCGACACATCCCACAGCCTGGCTCACGATACCCACACTCGAATGTCTTGCCGATACATGGCAGACGATGGCAAACGATCCCGCATACGCATCGATTGCTGACGCAATCCAGAGTGGCCTCAAGAATGTGGAGAAATACTATGAGAAGACCAGCAACTCAGATGTGTATTTCATCTGTCTGGGTGAGTAGCATTTTTTTCTTGAGTGCCGTTTCTAATGTACCTACAGTTCTGGGCCCTAACTTCAAGTTGGCATACGTAGAGACCCGCTGGACTGATGAAAAGGTTGCGAGAGGGAGAGCTCGTTTTGAAGCTGTGGTAAGTCTTATTTTTTCAATGTATTCTACCAGCGGCTGATAATTATGTACATTGTAGTTCAATAAGTATCACAAGGCTCCCCCGCTGCCATCTACCACAAAACAAGCCAGTGTGCCGCTGAAAGCACCAGTACTGCAAGCTGTTCGGTATGGCCAGTCCTGGATGCGTGATGCTGTCATGGCACGTCAAGCCGCAGAACTTCGCATGCGCGATCCCCATCACGAACTCACCTCGTATCTTACTTCGCCGTTAGAAGAGACAGGTGATGTCGTCGCATGGTGGGGGTAAGTTGTTTTTTTATTCACACATTCTCAACTGACATTATTCATTAGCTACACTTGCTACAGTATCTGACACTCTCTTGTATTGCCCGCGATTATCTACCGATTCAAGGTAGTGCGGTTCCCTCTGAACGTGCTTTCTCTAGCAGGGGAATCACATCAACCTTGCGCCGCAATGCGCTCGCATCATCCACCTTCTCTGCTCTACAGCTAATGAAGGCCGCTTACTGTAATGGACATCTTTCGGCAGCTACAGAGGCAGAGGGGTACGTGCAAATTTTATTAGACTAGTTACTCAATGTGTAGCTAGTATTTCGTCAATTATTTTTTGCTGTACCTATAGAAAAATTTACGGTTCGGTTCGAGTTCGGACCACAAAAAAAACCGAACCGGACCATTGAGAACGGTTCTCAATGGTCCGGTTCTGGGTTCAACGATTTCGCTGAACCGAACCGTTGGTCCGGTTCTCGGTTCTTGTTGAAGACCCTCTGAACCGGACCGAACTGGACCACAGCAGCACTAGTTGCGAAGGTCCCGAATATTCTTGTTGACAGGTTGGTTTGACTCATCAATATCTGATGCCTTTGGTGCCTTTTGATAGAGTATGTCGTCACTAAAGATACATTGTAGCTATTGACTTACTCTGGTTTTTTTCCGTTTGTCCTTGTGTTTCCGTTTCTTCTTTCCATTATTGTCGGAGGAATTGTCACTGCTGGATCTGTCGCTGGTTGCTGAGTCGTTCTCCTTTCCTGACTGAATTTCTTTATGCTGCACATAGTTCATTGCAGAGGTCGAGCATCAAGCAGACATAATGTTATCAACATACCTTTTTCATATTTTGCATCTCTTGCACGTAAACAGTTGCTGTGAGGTCTTTTGCTTTCTTGACTTGACCAATGAGTTCTTCGTAATCTTTCTGGTTGGTGATTGCAAGGGGTGAAGGTGAAAGACGTGGAATTGTGAAGGAAACTATATAGTTGTCGAAACTAAGTGTTGCAGGCTTCATCTCATTGTAGATCTTGACAAGTAATTGTGCCTTGAACGTGTCAAAAGGCTCATCAGCGGTGAGTTTCAGGTAGGTGCCCTGGCCTCGTCGTCTCTTCAAGTCTTTTCTCATTTCGGCTGCAGGGAATAAGGATATGTTGTATGTGATTATTGGGACTAGAGTCTCGGGTTTTTGGACGGGTTCTTGCACTGTGTCTGGGGCCTTGTCTGCCATCTGAATAGTATGTCATTTGTATTGTCAGGTATGTGTAAACCTGGATATATGCACCTTTTTTCGCTCGTTTACGAGGTTTTAGTTCTTTGCATTGAGGCTGAGAGGGGACCGGGATATGCTCCATTGCATCGAGTTCTTTGTCGATGCTATCCCTTGCTGGGAGAAGTGCAACTAGTGTTCTGTCTGCCACATATTACAGTGACCTATCTCCGTATAATACGAGGGAACGGACATGCATAATATCCCGTATGATACGGGCCAGCGGACCATGGGCCCATGATAAAAATATCCTCGACTATGACGGATGGGCCGGGAGGCAAATTATTCCCGATGGAGACGGGTGGGCCCATGCAGGGAATATATAGAGTAGATGAGTGGGCCGATGTACATGAATATTAGGTAGACGGGTGGGCCGAGGTAGTTGGATATTATGCAGATGGGTGTATTAAGGTAGATGTGTATGAGATAGATGGGTAGGTACTTGTTATCACATTCACGGGTGGGCCCAGACACATATTAAATTAGACGGGTGGGCCGAGGGTATTATAAAATATTGTATTAGACGGGTGGGCCCAGACGCATATTAATTAGACGGGTGGGCCGAGGGTGGTATAAAATATAGATGGGTGGGCCCATGTGTATCATAATTGTAGACATGATGGAGCTGAGGTAGTTGTACATCAACCAAATCAGAGGAGGTAATAAATCAAAGTTACCAAGTTCCCGGAGCAGCAGGTGATCTCCTGACATGGCCTTTGATGGTGCACAGGTTGTCTTGCAGAATGTGGAATCCGGGGTGCGAAGCTTGTGTTGCCCTACGAGAAGCCAAGTTCCGACCACCAGAATTTGAGTCAACTGTACCGAGCTCCGAGTTCCGAGTTCCGGGACCCGGAACTCAACACATAATTTAGTTAATACTTTCCGTGTTAAATGGCCAACCGAAGTTGAGATGTTTCTGAAGAGAGCAGCAGGTGCTCTCTTGACATGGCCTTTGATGGTGCGTAGGTTGTCTTGCAGAATGTGGAATCCGGGGTGCGAAGCTTGTGTTGCCCTACGAGAAGCCAAGTTCCGACCACCAAAATGTGAGTCAACCGTACTCAGAGGAGGTAATAAATCAAAGTTACCGAGTTCCCGGAGCAGCAGGTGATCTCCTGACATGGCCTTTGATGGTGCACAGGTTGTCTTGCAGAATTTGGAATCCGGGGTGCGAGGCTTGTGTTTCCCTACAAGAAGCCAAGTTCCGACCACCCAAATTTGGGTCAACCGTACCGACTTCCGAGTTCCGGGACCCGGGAGTCGACAAATGAATATCTGATGACCAGCACACTTCCAATCAGGTAGTATTTCATTGAGCAATGGATAATAATACATCTTTGACAGCCAAAATTATCTCAGGCTCCCTTATCTGATCCTCTCTATCTCCACCCCCTTTAACACCAAAGTCCGGACATTCAGCATTCAGTGTCTGATTTCCCAAGATTAACATCCAGCATGAACGGTTCTTCCCCTTCCACTCCTGATAGTATAAACATCTGGCGCACTTGGGCCCTGACTGTGACTTATGAAGCAGGGGAATATACCGAACAGAAATTCAAGGCAGAGAAGACTGGAGGAGGCCCAGTCATACCTTCCCCCAACCTAGACACTGATCTGGTGATGGCGTGCGATCGCTTGGCTGATGTACTCATAAAGGCATATAAAAATCCCAGTGGGTCTTCCTGCAGATTCGGAAAATTCGTTTTATCATTCAAATTCCTGCATGACAGTTCAGATGCAGGTGGATATTGCAAGATATAGCAAATTGATCTCCCCGAAGGACACCGGGCATAATGAACAGAGAGAGGCTAGGTTGCTTGAGAGGTGTCCTCCTGGCCATGAAGGCAAAAGGTTGGTCGACGAACCTGCCACAATTCTCGATGCATCCAGTGCCATCATCGCATGGTACCTCCCAGACGCCCTGACCGACACCACCCAGGTGTGTAATATACATTGTTACTCAATGGATATTGAATATCAAATGGAACCTACAGAAGGAAATCAGGGAAGCCACCAATTTGCTCGCTCCAAGCCTCGAAAAAAGTGTAAGGGCTGATGGCAATTGGCGAACTAATCAAAAGTGGTTCAACCGGGGCTCGGAAGATGTTGGGGCAACTCCCGGATGCATCAATTTATCTCCGGCATGGTTTCAACAGGGACACGAGGTAGGATCTGATGAGATGGTGATTCCGGCAGTCATACTCACCAATCCCAAAGAATGTGTCCGATCCGGAGGTATCTGCATCATTGAAGGGACCTTCCTGCGAGAATATCCTCAAAGCCATTTCAAGGCCAGCAGCCATCGCGTCCGCGGCACTCAGAGTCATGCATCCTGAGCAGTACTGGGCAGGGTTGCGAACCTTGTCAAACCTAGGACATATAGCAGTAAGCAAGGATCTGCCACAGATGCCGGAGGCCCTGCAGTACTGGGCATCGGTGTTTAACACCCTCTCCATCATTTCCAATCGGGAAACCCCAAATCATCGAGACCATTTGTCCATTGCTGAATGCTTCGACATTCTCACCACCGTGGGGAACTATTCTAATGCTCGGATGACAATGCCAAGCCTTCAGCTGGAGTTCAAGTACAATTCCGGCTGTATGATTGCGTTTTCCGGAGGATTGTGAGACATGGAGTTTATGATGTGGAAGGGGATCGGATTGCTTGGGCATGGTATATGAGGGATTCTGTTCACATTTACGCTGGTGTTCCATCATGTGGATGGGCTAGTGTGGATGGTCCATACAGTGTGTGAAAGATCAAACAAAGAGCATGCATTGTGACCTATATACATTCCAACAAATGAATACCATGTACCAATAGTTATCTGGACCTCAATACTCAATTGTGAGCATTTGCGAAGTGATATATGGGACTGAATAATTTGGATGCGAGCCTCAGTATTCGATAATCGGAACTTGGGACTTGACATATGGGAGTCCCGAGTGCCAGGGGTACTGAGTCCCGAGACCCGGACCTCAGCACTTGATATTTGAGACTGGGGGAAGATGTATCAATATGCTCAAATTAACATTTGTTATTGCCGTACACATTTGACAAAACCCTGAACCCCGACATTGTGAACTCGGGACTCGACACTGTTCTGAATACCGAGTCCCGGAAGCCCAGGTCCCGAGTCCCGAATTTCGGAGTTCGGGGTTCGGCGACCCGGAGCTCGGCAACTGTGTTGGGTGTCAGGGTATGCGGAGCATTGGAGATAGCATGTGTCAGTATTTTGCATTTCATGGTTCATGTTTGGCTGACACATGCGATCTCCAATGTTCCGGATACCCTGACACCCAACACAGTTGCCGAGCTCCGGGTTGCCGAACCCCGAACTCCGAAATTCGGGACTCGGGACCTGGGTTTCGGGACTCGGGACTCGGAGCTCGTGACCTGGGACTCGACAGTGTTCTAAATACCGAGTCCCTGACGCCCGATTCTATAATCACGAAAGATTCCATAATCACGAAAGATGAACCATGAAACGCAGAATACTGACACATGCTATCTCCAATGCTCCGGATACCCTGACACCCAACACAGTTGCCGAGCTCCGGGTCACCGAGTCCCGAAGCCCGAGTCCCGAGTCCCGAATTTCGGAGTTCGGGGTTCGGTGACCCGGAGCTCGGCAACTGTGTTGGGTGTCAGGGTATCCGGAGCATTGGAGATCGCATGTGTCAGCCAAACATGAACCATGAAACGCAAAATACTGACACATGCTATCTCCAATGCTCCGGATACCCTGACACCCAACACAGTTGCCGAGCTCCGGGTCGCCGAACCCCGAACTCCGAAATTCGGGACTCGGGACTCGGGCTTCCGGGACTCGGGTGCAAGATTTTTGAATGCATAGAATATTTTACATCTTGTATACAATGAACACTGAATGGGACTACACTCCTTTGCCTTTCCTCAATTTCTCTAACATGTCAGTGTACATCTTCACCTCTGCCATCTTGGCTTTGATGCCCTCATCTTGCTCCTCCATCAATGCTTCCATGCGTTCTTTAATCCACCTCAGTCCCATAAGTGGTGGAGTCGAAGTGTTTCTCAACTTCTCTGGAAGAACCAAAGCATCATCCTCAACATTAAGCTAGAACAGATAAGTCATCAATCAAGGCAATTCAGCTAACATCTTACCGCCCAATACTGGTAGTGAGAGACGCAGGAAGCCATTATTTCATCCCACTGCCATGGTTGATCCGGGATTGTGGTGTTTCCCATCCACCATGGACATGTATATGCAAACACAATCCGGGACGGATGTCCTGCAATTGCCTCATCATCAAATGAAAGGAGGTGGAATGAAAAGACGTCGTCCGGAACCTGTGTTCCAGGTTAGCATGGGATACAACTTAAGGATATAAGCGACAGGGACCGGAAGAACCGACACGATATTCTGTGAAGCTGAGTACTGCAGGAGTGGTGTGACAAAAGTCTGCTCAAATTTTTAGCATTGACCAACAAAGTCATCAGGGCAGTGGTAACATACATTCATCTCCCATTGCAGCCCAGCTTTAAAATACTTTATCCGGTCAGAAGATAGACCATTGTTGGCAGCTTCCGTCTGATATTGAGAGATGCATGCACGGACCCGCGATCCAGCCATTGCCAATGTGCAGGAAATAGTTCCAAGGCTCAGCTTCAGGGGTCGGTAATGGCTTCCGGCATTCAGAGTGCCAGAAGTGGATGCAGGAGTTGCAGGCATGGCTAATACAGGACTATGGCGCTGGCAATGCAAGTGAAAGATGGTGAAGATGTGAAGATAAGAATCACTGATGGATGGATACGAAATTCAAACTCCGACATGGGCTGACCCTGGACAATTCCCGGGCCTCAATTATGTATGTGGAAAAAGGGACTTCATGAGAAAACAATGTTCATTCATCTCCAGCCTCTATCAACACTGTTTTGTAGGTCTTGAAAAGCTGCCTGCGCATCCTGTGCGAGCAATGAATACATTCGCGATTGCCTTCCGGCATAGCATCCGTGACCCGGAAGGCGTTTCTCCAATGATTCCTGCATGTGGTCGCCCCATTGGGTTGCTTTCCACAAAAAGAACTTACATGTCCAATCCATCTCCAATTTGACCAATATCATTTCTTCCCTCCATCGATCTCGTAGTGCCTTTGCCCGCAGCCAATGGACTCGGTAAACTTGGCATGGGTCCAGTCAGGTAACCGTGGGATATGACATGCAAGCAGGAACTCACATTCCTCATTCCACGATTGATCAGGACCCCCGAGGTCGACTTCAACAGACCAAAACCAAGCCAAAGATTCATTTCGTTGACCTCGGGCATTTGGGTCGCCCACTGCAGTGCTGATTTTGAGTTGCTCGCGAAGCAGGGGTTTGTATTTCTGAAGCTGGTCTTGCCCCGGCTCAAGTTTCATCATTTGCTTCCTGGTCTTTGTATATATGCTGGCATGGAGGGAGACTGCCTGCTGCACCGATGTCACCTGGGACCAAGCTCGAGTTTTCAGGGCCTGGGATTTGGCCTGCCGAACGGTTGTTCGGAACAGGATGGCCTTGTTGCAAAGGTAAATGCGGAGATTGTGAAGGGCATCATTGGCCTGCCCTTCACGAAGAGACATCTCCAGGGGAATCAGATCCTCTGCCATGCATCGTCTGCATCTATCAACACCCAGGTTTGATGGCAACGGGATTACAGTGAGCTCGGGAGAGTTTGTCCATGTATGAGATGTCTCTGTGAAATCCGCCGGGTCATCATCGAGATCATCTAGAATGTCTACGTTCAAGTCCTCAGGTTCATCATCTGCATCAAATCCCTCCCCGAGATGTGTTAGAGCAGACCGAGCAAATCCATCTATCTGGCCTTGGAGCCGATCGCGTTGACGGGCAATGTCTAATCTCTGTGTCTCAGTGGATCTTCTTCCGATCCTTCGGACCTCGATGAGCAATGCAATCTGAGCCTCTTCAATTGCTAACCCTGTTGATATCCACGTCGCCACAGATCTGCGAGAGGGTGCTGCATTGCGGGCGTTACCCTCCTCTAATAATCTAAGCTCGATCTCCTTTTTGCTTGGTGCTGAGTGCAATATTAATTCCGACCTCGATGGAGACAATGGAACTCAACGTACCCTTTTTTATATTGATCTCATATTCATCCATCGCCGCAGGATCATTCAATCTGCTTGACTGAGCTATCCTCTCCCTGGCTAACCATTCTGTCTTCAAATGTGAGGGTGCTGCTTCATCGAGTCTGTCGAATGCCTTTCCACTTTCCGAGATGCCATTCCTCGCCAGCTTGTATTTCCGGCATAGAGTCCTTTTCATGCGAATCATCTTGCAGAAATTGGAGTCATTCATCTGATAATCAAGGCATTCCTTTCGGTGGGGAGATGACATTCCCCGAGCAGCAGGGGAAATCAGATTGAGCCGTGCCCATAGCGTCTCCATGATCTCTCCATCGATCCGACCAATGCCTTCAATAAAGTTAGAAGCATATCGGACATAGCAGCTGTCCTGATGGCCATGAATGTGCCACAACCCAATTCCGGGAATGATGGTTAGTTGTGGTGCCATGTCTAGAAATCGACTTCGATCCACCCGAACCCGAAAGTGTTGTTGTATTGACAATTAATATCATAGAAGGTGACAGCCCTGGTGATGCCTTCCATGTTGTGCCGGGAAGCCTCGCAAAGGGA